ATAAGCACTTCGATGACCTTCTTTCACTAATAGATAAACCCATGTCAAACCCACTTTCCCTGATTGGCCTCACAGAAACTTGGTTAAATTACGATTCAAACCACCCTTTTCATATCAATGATTATGAATTCATTAATAAAAATAGACAAAACAGAGTTGGTGGTGGAGTTGCACTCTACATTCGTAAATCACTTAAATACACTATTTTGAATGAAATCTCAGTTTGTAATGCTATTGTTGAATCCCTTTTTATTGAAATTGTGATTCCTGGTAATAAGAATATCATCGCCGGTGTTATTTATAGGTGTCCTAGCTCAAATACTCTAGAATTTTTACAATATTTGTCAAATTTGTTAAGAAATGTCAACTTTGACAATAAAGAATTCTTCTTGATGGGAGATTTTAATATAGACTTATTGAACCATGAACATAACAGGGCTTCTCAAGAATTTCTGGAATTAATTTTATCCGCCTCTTGCTTACCACTTGTATCTAAGCCAACGCGTGTTACAAATACATCTGCTACTTTAATTGACAATATTTTTTCTAATGTCATTCCGCATCCAGATTCCTATATAATTCTTTCGGACATAACTGATCACTATCCTATTGCACTGCATTATCAACTGGGTCAATCGATTAATACTAATAATTCTTCAACTTACAGACGTAAAGTTAATGAAGAAAGTCTGGCACACCTTGGAATTAATCTGGAAAATTATGATTGGTTGTGTGTGCATACTAATAAAGACATTAATAGTTCATATGAAAATTCTGTCCATATATTAAACAATCAGTTGGACATCAATATGCCGAAACAAAAAGTCAAAACTAGTTATAAAAAGACACCTAAACTTCCATGGATTTCAAAGTCTCTGCTACGCTCAATTAATCGGAAAAATAATCTCTTTTATAAATACAAAATAAAAGGTACTGAAAAATCTAAACTGAAATATACATCCTATAAAAACACATTGACTAAAATCATTCGCCTAGAAAAGAGAAAATACTTTGTAAATCCTTTGGAAATGTTTAAACACGACATGCAAAATACTTGGAAAGTTATTAAACAAGCGATGAATTTGACTAAAGGAAGATCTGACATAAATAAAATCAAGTATAACAATGAAACTGTTGAAAATTCCAAAGATATTGCGAACATTTTTAATAATTACTTTTTCTCAATCGGTAACAATCTCGCCGAAAATATCCCCCCATCAAACAAAAATTATACTGACTTTTTAGGCCCCGCTAATCCGAATTCTATTTTTTTCTTTCCGACAAATAGACAAGAAGTCCATAATATCGTCTCTAATCTACAAAATAAAACAAGTTCTGGCTTCGATGGAATTAGTAATGTTATTTTGAAAGCCATTATTCCTTTTATTGTCGACCCATTAGTCCATATATTCAATTTATCATTACTGCATGGTGAATTTCCTGATTCCATGAAACTAGCAAAAATTATTCCCCTATTCAAAAAAGGTGATAAACTTGAAATAGGTAATTACAGGCCAATCTCCTTGTTATCTTCATTTTCCAAAATCTTGGAAAAAATAGTATTTACTCGAATGATTGCTTTCCTGAAGAAATATGATATTTTATCCAACTTTCAGTTTGGTTTTAGGGAAAAACATAGTACTGTTCATGCTTTAATGTCTTTTGTTGAAAAAATTGCCCATTCAATTGACTCGTCTTCTCACACAGTTGGTATTTTCCTGGACTTCTCCAAGGCCTTTGATACGATAAATCACGAAATTTTACTTTACAAACTCGCCAATATTGGTGTCCGTGGAAAGGCCTTGGAGTGGTTCAGGAGCTACCTTTCTAACAGAAGACAACTTGTGTTTTTAAATGAGCAGGCATCTGATTTTAAAAATATTACTTGTGGTGTTCCGCAAGGGAGTCTTTTAGGCCCGCTATTGTTTATTATTTATATAAATGATTTTCATAAATCATCCAATGCTATGTCATTCATTTTATTTGCTGATGATACTAATTTATTTTTTTCACACAGTGATCCAAATATTATTGTTGATGTAATTAACGCAGAGTTGCGAAAAATATTAGAATGGATTAGAGCTAATAAATTGTCATTGAATCTCTTGAAGACGAACTACATATACATCATTACCCACTGATATTATTCTTGACAACACCCCTCTTGAGCAAGTTTCTCATACAAAATTTTTAGGTGTTGTGGTTGATAGTAAACTATCCTGGAAACTCCACGTTGAAAATATTTGTAAAACTATATCTCGCAATGTTGGTATCATTAACAGACTTAAATCACACCTTCCACAACGATCTTTGCTTATGCTTTATTCTTCTCTTATTTTACCATACTTAAATTATGGACTTCTGCTTTGGGGAAACACGTACCAAACATTGGTGGAAAAAGTTTTATTACTACAAAAGAAAGTCATTCGTATCATATGTAATGCTCCTTTTCTTGCCCATACGGATCCGCTGTTCCTTGAACATAATATCCTAAAAATTAACGATCTATACTTATTACATCTAGGTGAATTTATGTATAAATTCAATTCTGGTACTCTTCCATTTGCGTTTCACGATATGTTTAAACAAAATCGTACATTTCATAAATATCCCACAAGACAGTCAGAAGAATTTCATTTACCTTTTTTGAGAACATTTTTCGCACAAAAAACATTCATCTTTGAAGGCCCTAAATTTTGGAATACTCTGCGTGTTGATTTGAAAAACTCCCCTTCTCTCTCAGTCTTTAAAAGAAATCTAAAGAAATCTTTACTGGCCCCGTACAAAACCTAGCTCCTTGTTATATTGCCTGTGTATATTATATGCAGGAATTTTCATGATTATTACTATTGTCATTATTTTAATTATGATCATTATTGTTGAGATTGTATTATGTTCTCCAGAGAACTCGTCACCACTCGTTTACCAAGTACTTCCTCTCATTGAACTGTTCTTTTTTTGAAAATTTGATCTTGCGCGCAACCTTCATTCTGTTTGTTATCACCTTTCATCTATTTCTGTAGTCCACATGCAAACCTTTTCTCTTTACTGTATCCCTTCTCCTCTCACACTCTCCTTGTTTTCTTTGTACATTGTTCGTGTTATGCGTATTGTTTTGTTTCTTCTTTTGTGTCCTCTCTGTTGGCAATTATCCTTATTTTACTCATGTAACTTACTATTATTGAATACTACCACCCGAGGGGTCCACGATTTACAAGCATCGCTTCACAGTGGACCTCTCCGTTTCCAGCTTAACATTAATAAATTATTTTAAGCAGCAATATTTCTTGATATTCAAATATGTAATTCTGTTAAATTCATATTTTGTATTGCATGGTTACTACTTTGATTGTTTATTGTAATGATATTTCTATGAATACTGTAATTCTTTTGCTGGAAATGAGAAAAAATAAAATTGAATTGAATTGAATTGACGTAAATGCGAGAGTAATCTGCAACTACGTCACAAGTACCCACTGACCACATTATCAATTTGAGAATAGCATAGAGATCTCATTTCAAACATGCATATTATTCTTATTATTGGTCCGATTTTTGTTTCTCTTATTTTCTGCTTACACAGAAATGAACTTACTACAAAGGTTGGATTGTTCTCTAATATGTTAACACATTCATGTACATAGAAATATAATTCAGAGATTAAATTCAAACTAAGGTTATTTGAAAAGTAAGTAAAAGGACTTGTTCAGTTTATCATAACTGTGATATGGACAGGACATGACAAGGTAATCGACGTCAGGATTTTGTAAAATAGGAGGGAGCTAGGGTCCAAATCCAAAATAGTGTGGTCTAGAAAAAGAGTATGAAACAGGGTTTACCTCATCCACAAATTGTGTCACGAGCAAAAACGAAAAAAACAAAAACACAAAGAGCATCACTGTAATAATAGTAATAATAATAATAATAATTATAATAGCCTAATAGTCCACTCCGAATTTTATTAAACCGAAACGGGAATTGTTTTTGCCCAATTGATCGTGAGCCCGGCAGCCACTGAGCAGCGCCAGATCGACGTTGCTCTATCCCTTACTGTTGAACGCCTAACAAGGTGGCAACAACTCCCATCTTTTAACGTCTTTTGGTATGACGCGGCCGTGGTTCGAACCCACGACCTCCCGGTTGTGAGGCGGACGCTCTACTGACTGAGCCAACACCCAGTAATGTTCGTTCATCTCAAAACGATGATGAACAAGGTTTTTGAAATTTCCTTGAATATTTCGAAGGTCTTTGCGATCGTGATTCGATAGCTTCAGATCGAATACAAGACAAGCCAGACATTGTTCCACATCAAAGTTTGAATTCATATCAGTCGGAGGTACGTAAGCTACCATGATACATTTCTTGATCATATAGCACAAACAAAAATTCGTGAATATCTAAGTTTAGTTTACAGTCTTACAGAACTATACACGAAAGAGGAATACACATATTTTATAGAGCTGCTCTCTTCAAAATGTATGCCATCAACATTTTGCTGAGAAATTTCGATGATTACTATCCGTTTTCCTCCCGCTTCTTTTTGGCACCTCATTTTCGGTGTATCAACATATAAAAAAAGCCCATCGACATTTTATTTGTTCCTTTGAATAAATAGGGCAGACTTTTGGTCAGTAAGTCGAATATTCTTCCATTTGGGGCTTCTGAATACAATTTGTCAAAAACATACATTTTATTTTATTGGTATGCAATAAACCAGCCAAGACACAGCGTAAATAATTCAACTAACCGACTGCATATCAAGGCTTGCAGTATGTTGAATATCCGAGAGGAGGAAATAACAACAAAATAACAAAAATAAATAACCAACCAATCTAAACAATTAAATAAACAAACGAAAAACAAACAATGCAATAAATAAAACACAGTTGTAAACACAAATAAATAAACAAACAAACAATAAACAAACACAGATCAATCAGATTATGCCATGGACAATATTGGGCAATTAAAATCAAGTAAAAATACGAAATCAAACTTACCAATCAACTATCTTTTGTTCGGATCTAGGCCTGTTTCTTACTTGAATTCTCCCAAAGAACCTATAACTTTATATTACTGGTCCCTTCCACGAGCCTGCATTCATTAGTAAGACAATTTTCAAGACGGATGCTTATAAATGGAGAGGGTAGTATCATATTACTTTGACACAAGGGCGTCGACTACATGTGGCGGGAAATGCCCCCCCCCCCCACAAAAAACAACAACACACAGCAACAACAAATAAAGCTTAAGACAGTTATCAGCCCGAAGAATAATTACTGGAGGTGTTTTAGTCTAGTGGATAAAGTCACCAGACAATGAAGTACCAGTATATGGATTCGCAACCTTTTTACGGTACCGATGTTCTTTGGCAAGACATGTATTGACATTTTCTGCTATCCATCACCCCCCCCCCCCCCTAAGGACAATCAACTGTGCTTGATCCACTTATCTTTGTATTCATTTATATAAGCAAATCTGCTGGTAGATGGACATGAAAACCAGCCCTTGTTAATTTTTTTTCTAGTATTATTGCTATCAGGACACCTGACGGATGCTTGTACATGGAGAGGGTTGTATCATATTGCTTTGGCACGAGGGCGTCGACTAAGGACTGATCAAAATAATGGGGGAAATGCCCCCAAAGGAAAAAAAGTAGCTTAAGGTATCAGCCCCCAATCATATTACTGGAGGTGTTTTAGTCTGGTTGATAAAGTCACCGACTATAAATTACAAGTTACGGGATTCGAAACCCTTCCACGGTATACCAATATCCTTAGGTAAGACATTCCTCGACATTTTTTGCTATTAATCACCCCCCTCCCTAAGGAATTCCACAATCAATCGTGCTTGATCCACCAATCTTTGTCTTCATTGTAAGAAACTCTGCTCAGGAAGTTAGACATGTTTATGAACTCTAGTTTATTGTAAATAGTTATGAAATTATGTTATGGGAGTTGTTGCTACCTTGTTTGGCGTTCTACAATAAGGGATAGAGCAACGTCGATCTGGCGCTGCTCAGTGGCCGCCTAGCTCACGATCAATAATATTGGGCAAAAAGAATTTCCGATCGGTTCAATAAAATTTGGAGTGGACTATTAGGCTATTATTATTATTATTATTATTATTATTATTATTACGGATATTACAAAATTTAATAACTATATACATTCCAGAACATCCAAGGATCATGAACACAGTCATGTTTCTCTTATTTTCTGCTTACACAGAAATGAACTTACTACAAAGGTTGGATTGTTCTTTAATATGTTAACACATTCATGTACATGGAAATATAATTCAGAGATTAAAATCAAACTAAGGTTATTTGAAAAGTAAGTAAAAGGACTTGTTCAGTTTATCATAATTGTGATATGGACAGGACATGACAAGGTAATCGACGTCGTCGCATAAATTATAGGGAGGAGGTATCAGGATTTTGTAAAATAGGAGGGAGCTAGGGTCCAAATCCAAAATAGTGTAGTATAGAAAAAGAGTATGAAACAGGGTTTACCTCATCCACGAATTGTGTCACGAGCAAAAACGAAAAAAAAACAAAAACACAAAGAGCATCACTGTAATAATAATAATAATAGCCTAATAGTCCACTCCAAATTTTATTAAACCGAAACGGAAATTGTTTTTGCCCAATTGATCGTGAGCCAGGCGGCCACTGAGCAGCGCCAGATCGACGTTGCTCTATCACTTACTGTTGAACGCCTAACAAGGTAGCAACAACTCCCATCTTTTAACTTCTTTTGGTATGACGCGGCCGGGGTTCGAACCCACGACCTCCCGGTGGTGAGGCGGACGCTCTACTGACTGAGTCAACACTCAGTAATTTTCGTTCATCTCAAAATGATGATGAACAAGGCTTTTGAAATTTCCTTGAATATTTCGAAAGTCTTTGCGATCGTGATTCGATAGCTTCAGATCGAATACAAGACAAGCTAGACATTGTTTCACATCAAAGTTTGAATTCATATCAGTCGGAGGTACGTAAGCTACCATGATATATTTCTTGATCATATAGCACAAACAAAAATTCGTGAATATCTTAGTTTAGTTTACAGTCTTACAGAACTATACACGAAAGGGGAATTCACATATTTTATAGAGCTGCTCTCTTCAAAATGTATGCCATCAACATTTTGCTGAGAAATTTCGATGATTACTATCAGTTTTCCTCCCGCTTCTTTTTGGCACCTCATTTTCAGTGTATCAACATATAAAAAGCCCATCGACATTTTATTTGTTCCTTTGAATAAATGGGCCAGACTTTTGGGCAGTTAGTCGAATATTCTTCAATGTGGGGCTTCTGAGTACAATTTGTCAAAAACATACATTTTATTTTATTGGTATGCAATAAACCCGCCAAGACACAGCGTAAATAATTCAACTAACCGACTGCATATCAAGGCTTGCACTATTTTGAATATCCGAGAGGAGGAAGTAACAACAAAATAACAAAAATAAACAACCAACCAATCTTAACAATTAAATAAACAAACGAAAAACAAACAATGCAATAAATAAAACACAGGGGGAAACACAAATAAATAAACAAACAAACAATGAACAAACACAGATCAATCAGATTATGCCATGGACAATATTGGGCAATTAAAATCAAGTAAAAATACGAAATCAAACTTACCAATCAATGGTCTTATATTCGGATCTAAGCCTATTTCTTACTTGAATTCTCCCAAAGAACCTATAACTCTATATTACTGGTCCCTTCATTATGCACGAGCCAGCATTCATTAGTATCTTCAGGGAGGTGTTTTAAACTCAAACCCTGGTAAATTTTCAAGACGGATGCTTATAAATGGACAGGGTATTATCATGTTACTTTGGCACAAGGGCGTCGACTACATGATCAAGTGGGGGGAAATACCCCCCCCCCCCCCACAAAAAATAACAACACACAACAACAACAAATATAGCCCGAATAATAATTACTGGAGGTGTTTTAGTCTAGTGGATAAAGTCACCAGACAATGAAGTACCAGTATATGGATTCGCAACCCTTTTACGGTACCGATGTTCTTTGGCAAGACATGTATTGGAATTTTCTGCTATCCACCACCCCCCTAAGGACAATCAACTGTGCTTGATCCACTTATCTTTGTATTCATTTATATAAGCAAATCTGCTGGTAGATGGACATGAAAACCAGCCCTTGTTAATATTATTTATAGTTTTATTGCTATCAGGACACCTGACGGATGCTTGTACATGGAGAGGGTTGTATCATATTGCTTTGGCACGAGGGCGTCGACTAAGGATTGATCAAAATCATGGGGGAAATGCCCCCAAAGGAAAAAAAGTAGCTTAAGGTATCAGCCCCCAATCATATTACTGGAGGTGTTTTAGTCTGGTTGATAAAGTCACCGACTATAAATTACAAGTTACGGGATTCGAAACCCTTCCACGGTATACCAATATCCTTAGGTAAGACATTCCTCGACATTTTTTGCTATTAATCACCCCCCCCCCTAAGGAATTCCACAATCAATCGTGCTTGATCCACCAATCTTTGTCTTTATTGTAAGAAACTCTGCTCAGGAAGTTAGACATGTTTATGAACTCTAGTTTCTTGTAAATAGTTATGAAAATACCCGCATATTACAAAATTGAATAACCATATACATTCCAGAACATCCAAGGATCATGAACACAGGAAAGGCGTATCCACCATAAGACCCCCCCCCCCCCCCTCCCTCCCTCCGGTTTAAGGCAATGAAGAAAAAAACTCAAAAATTGGCCTTATAGTCTCAGACATACTTTATTCTGTTTCCGGCACACTTAAGACCCCTCCTCCTTTAATCCATTTTCATATGCCACTGATCAAGGGTGGGCGCTAGCTACCCGAGGTCGAAATACTCTCAGGAAATTATTCTGCTCCTCTAGTAATAATAATGGCACATTGCCACTCCTGGTACATGCACAACATTACTTATTATAGGCTCTGTATAAGCTTGGCTTGTTAGAACTCTTGTGAGTAATGTGCAGCGGGATTCCATATCCTTAAACTGCTGGCGAACAGATCAACAAGACCACGCTCTGTAATTATTAGGATCTCTGTCCAGTAGTGCCGTGTTTGTGCCATCGAACTAGATCGACCAAATCAATTGATTCATAATATATATATATAATATTTTTTCCCGTAACATGAGAGTAATTTTAATAGTTTCACACTATTAATTAAATGTAATGTTAACTGTTATTGTATAATTGTTTTAAATGGGGGCACGCTACAAGAGTCCTATCTCGCACCCCGGGGGTAACGTGTCTGACACGGCTGGTTGTAGCAACTACTCCGAAGATCAAGATACATTAATCTTGATCTAAAGAGACACGAACGAACGAGCCATTCCTGATGCTCCATTAATACCCCGTCTTTAGCACGGCTGTCATTACAGCGCTCGAACATCGTTACATAGTTCATTACTGCCAATGCCAAGTACCTATTTACCTGACCTGAGTGGAGTATGTTTAAATCCCGCCCCCCCCCCCCCCACTCAGTGTTATTTAGGGTACGCACATGCTCGTTCCCTCTTTTTGAAAGCACCCCCTATCTGAGGACTGCCAACATTTCCGAACCCCCCTTTCGCGGGCTTTTCGCAGGCTTTTCCTGCGGCTTGGAGACCCCCTAAATCATGAAAAATGCTCAATGTACCCCCCTAAATTCGGAATAATTTCTCAGGAGTCCAAAGAGATGAGAGAAAAAAAAAAGAAAAAACACCCCCTTTTTGAAGAAATCTCCGGGTGAAAAGTAAATACACCCCTTTTTTTTTTACAATTCTCGGGCCGGACTTTGTCGCACGAAAAGTACCCCTTTACCGGACATTTTGGTAACACGCATGGGGTCCGTCCGTTCTCGGAGTGGGGGGGGGGGGGGGGGGGGCGGGGTTTAAATATATACTAATGTCTTGCTAAAAGAAAATAATGCCTCGACAGGGATTCGACCCCGTACCTCTCACATGGACAATAATGGGTACGCCCCTAGGAGCGAGCAATAATATTCTTTGAAGACTTTTAGCGAACTGCCCCTGGTACACTATGTATTTATTGATATACGTTCTTTATCTTTGAAAAAGAATGGTATAATGAGGGTTTTAAAGTTATGTGTTCAAATAAATAAAACAAGATGGAATTATATTGCACTTTATACTCAACTCAAATGGCTCATGAATATTCATGAGTTAAAACAAATTTTGCCTTCTCCCGATTTATTCTATTCCTCTATATTTTAGCAAAAATCCAACATTTTGATCCTTTTCAATATGTCCAACTCTCTCTTTCTCTCTCTCATTGTTTCTCTTTCCCAATCTCTTTCTTTTTCTCCCCCTCTCATTCACACTCTGCCTCTGTCTTTCTCTCTTCCCTCTTCTCTCGCTCTCCCCTCCCTATCCTTTAGCTTGTCGGAGATTTCTGAGGGGGGGGGGGGAATAGGCACCTTGGTAATCAAAATATACTCTTCTATACAAAGGAAGTTTTATTAAACATATTTTACTGGCATATATTTATCAATGACATACATAATTCCTCATAGGAAACATGAGAAGAAAACAAAAATCATTATTTGTTCATTAACATATATTACAGAAAAGTTTAGACAGATATTATAATGCCTGTGTAATTTTTTCATGAACTTCTTCAACTTGAACTCTTTCTCATAAGGATTAGTTTGATCTAACTACATCAACTTCGTTTGTCATAATGATAGAAAGAAAATACCAGCACGTTCATGTCTCTGAAGTCTGTACTATCACTCATGAAATATAGTACATTAAATAGAAATTAACAAATCAAACTAACGTTTACACATTTGACATTTTGGCTGCCTTATTTTTGGAAAGTACAACAGGTGTGCTTAAATATAACTGGTATTGCCTTTGTATTGACTGTCATACCATCTGTGTGGAGCCAAGGGCATTAACTCATATACTTTAATACAGAAGTTATGCCATTTTGACTCTGAACAGACAATACATACATTACATAAGATTATTCTTCAGGTTCTACTGAACTTGTGTCTCCAATAAACTAAATTTTTCCTAAATTCACACTTTACGTGTTACTTGTATTCAATTTACAACTGAAACAAGTACTATAGCACCAATTGAAACTTTTATTGTGACAAAAAAACTACCGTTGCCCTAATATTGTTCTGGTTACAAGAAACTGGCTATCAACAATTAATAATCAATGGACATCTGGGCCCTGTATTACAAAGAGTTGATATCAATCGCAACTTATTTGTGATTGATATCAATCACAACCATGTACATAAGAGATGGGAGACTGCAAACTTGTGATTGATTTAGGGACTTGATATTGATTCGGATCAATATCAACTCTATGTAAGACAGGGCCCCGGGGTCAGATTCTGAAATCTAGTTATCTTTTGTGTTAGTTCAAACAATGCTATTTGTCATAGTAAACTTAAATCGTCCATAATTAACACTTATCATTGATGAGTGTGCACATCTTTTTTAACACTCAGTGAACGCAGCTATCTTTGTGGAGACATTAACAAATGACTTGTCTTAATTTTCATAGTTGTAATGACAATTAACAATATTTTACTAACATATAGGAAAACATTGTTTTCAGAATACCAGCCCGGGGAGTTATGAGACTGAATTGAAGACTCCTCTTCTACGTTTCATATGGCCTAAATATTCATAATTGAATGATATACAACAACAACAACATATGTCTAGAGATTATTTTGACTTCCAATAAATGTTTGGATACTAATTAAAAAGAAAAGACAATTTATTTCACTGTGACAATTGTCATATATCTGAAGATTTTCTCAATAATTTTTGTATTTATGTCAATGTTCTGGAATGCTATATTTCAATACCACGTCTACAAGCTAGCAAGGAGAGCAGATGAGCGTGACAAAAATGTATTAAACTATATGATGGATGTTGTAGGCACATTACTGTTAAGACATTATTTTTTATTACTTATCTGTTAATCATCCAACCCAAGAAAAGATAAGTTTACAATCTTTACAAACGTATTCATAATCAGAAAAAACTTCCTCCCCACGAGTCTACACTCTTACATTGTAGTACTATTTTTCACATTGTTGCTATGTCAGACAACTCTCTGGCAAGTTTCAGGGTTATCACTGGTAACAAAAATAGTAGATATATGTATATAAAAAAATTAGATACATTTGTGAACCGGCCTTCTTAGCTTCATCTACATTTACAACACAGATCAACACAAACCCACAACAAGATGCAATTGTATTGCACTTTGTACTAAACTCACACAGCTCATGAATATTCATAAGTTAAACAAATTTTCTGTTGAAAATTGTATTGATTTATTATTTTGCAATATCGTCGGCCTTATGCCAAAAGGGCCTTAACTGCTTTTGGCCATTCCGAGATAATCGCGTTTAAAGGTTTTGGCCTCTCTAATAATCAAAATTTTGTGGTCGTTTTTTTGCTTTTGAAGCCAATTTCGATAAATGTGTTAAGTTATTAAGTTTTACATGAAATGTGTTAAATTTGTTATAAAATATTCAGAATTGTACATGCTATGTGCAAAAAACATGTTAGGGCCTTTTTGGCATAAGGCTTGAATGTAGCGTATGTTAGCGTATGTTATGCCAGAAGGGCCGTAACCTACTCGGCATTATGCCAAAAGGGGCGTAACCTACGCGGCGTTATGCCAAAAGTGCCTTAACCTGCAGTTATCGTACGCGTAACTATGCGCGTAACTATGCGCGCGTACGCGCGCATAGTTAGCGCCCTTTTGGCATAAGGAAATTTTCTTGTTTCGCAACACCTTTGGTTTGCCAGAAAGGCCCTCCTAACGCAAATGGATCATCCGTGTAGGTTAAGGCCCTTTTGGCGTAAGGAAAAAGATGAGATACGCGTTAAGGCCCTTTTGAAATTCATAATTATCTTCATAAATAAATCGAATTTCAGCAAGTGAAGCACATCATTTTAAAGAGAATGGTGAAATCTACAAGGTGATATTAATAACTCAATAACCCCCAAAATCGGGTTAAGGCCCTTTTGGCATAAGGCCGACGATATGATTATTGCATGATCATCATATATCTACATATATGCTTTCTGCCCTTTTCAAAAGGTTGTGGTATTGTCAAGTTTATTTGTGTCTGGTTATCACTTCAGATGTATGCATATCAATTACTTAATTTGAATAATTTATGCACAGCACCTCAAATTCATTAAAATCTGAAAAAGTCATCTGTGATTAATAAAAGCATTACATTAAGTTTATGTTATATTCTTTCTTGCAACATTACAGGGCAGTAATAACATAAATATACAGCACTTTTCATGTGGTTTCAAGATAATTTCATCACCAACCAATAAAATTACATAGGAACTATTTTGTCCTATAAAGATGTCCCAGTTGACACAAAGCCTCGCTCAGAAGACTTGTTATCCAAGTTACACACAGAGAACACAGTTTCTCATTATTGACTTGGGGGAAAGTCCCTGGACCCTGGGTAGAGAGTGCCACATAATAATCTTGTTATGTCTGCTTAGTCTGCAGTCCTCTTCATACTGGCTATGAGGTTGTTAGAATCGAGCCTGAGGATAGACTAGGCAGTCGTCAGAGCACAGTCATGCAAGTACCACTTCTGTAGTGGTAACACAACAGGGCTCACTCTCTGAGTAACTTTTATCTAAAAGAACACTCACACGTAAATTTGAAGAAAAAAATGTAAAGAGATGTAATTCTTTTGTGTTGATTAGAATAGAATGATTACAGCTTAAAGTAGTACCGTAAACAAGTTCTAGACAAATACTTGAGTTGTCAAATTGTACAGGGATCTCATTTCCCCCTAATATTCTCTGATTTTTTTTCCTGGATTTGGTCCAATGAACTTACTGCCAGGATGGACCTACTGTATCTATTCAATGTAATACAATAATATAAATCAAACATAAAGCTGTAGATTAGTATTTCAGCACAATCTGCATAGGGGTAGTAGGGTAAGGCAAGTTCAATCTTAAAATGTAGTACTTGACACATATTGGTCCATGCTGGACCACTCATAGTTCATGCTAGTCAATTAGTCTATGCTAGTATTTAGCAGTCAATGCTGTACCTCACAGATTTCCAAGATTTGGAGAAAAATCACAATGAGCTTAATAGATACAACTAAAAATAATAATTTAAAAAAATTATTTAAAAAAAAAATTCAGGTGTTCTTCACTGAGATTTCAAACAGTCATAAAGAGTAAAATAAAAACCAGAAGGCATTAAAAGGATACATACGTAGCCGCGTAGTTCAACATCCAACATCACCCATATTTAGGTCATATCGTTTGGCTCTTTCCTCTGACTTTATTCTATATGTTGACTAAGCATTTTTTCTTTTCTTTTCTTCCCCCCCCCCCTTCTCAATTCTCTATGTATCTCATTCTAATTCTATCCCTCTGCGTCTCAGAATTGTTTACTAGATCGATGGCGCATAATAAATGCTGTATTATTATTATTATTATTATGCTTTCCATGGTTTCTTTGTATGATTGTCATATCTTGAGGACAATCTCACATTATTTTCATTTATGATGTAAACTGTATCACTATATTTTTACTGTTAAAATGTTGAATTCAATTGAATTGAAAATAAAAATGATTAAAATAACCCAACACATTTTATTTAAAAATTCATGTGGGTATCAATGAATTTCAATTCACATTTTTCAATTTTTATTTTCTTATAAAAGAAAGTTTCTCTAAAAGTTTGGTGGTCAACAGGCACCATTTTTTTCAATTTTTTTTTTCAATTTCAATTTCAATTTACTGTCAAATATTGGAAATTTGTTTTGCTCACATTTTACAAACAAACAAAGAATCAACATAACCTTACATAAATAATATACCGGTATATCATATACCATGACATCATGTGTGTTGGTTCTGCATTCATGGCACTCTTCTGAAGTCTGTTCCAAAGACCTCCTGTAATCTGATTGAGTCTAGACAGCTGCATTGGATCTGCATTGGACTGTGACCACTTCCAAATCAAGATGGTTTACAAGTTCAGTCTTGTGTTGGTCCCGCATTCATCGCTCTCATACTGAGTCTATACAAGCATCCACCAGTAATTTGTTTGAATCTAGACCATTTGATCTGTTTTGGAACTTTGACCACCTCAGTCTTGCGTTGGTTCTGCAGTCATGGCCCTCATTTTAAGTCTGTTTAAAAAGACCTCCTATTATCCGATGAAGTCTACACTACTACAGTAGAGCCTGAACCTTGATCACCTTGAAATCAAGGTACATTGCATGTTCAGTCTTGCGTTGGTTCCGCATTCATGGCCCTCATTTTAAGTCTGTTTAAGAGTCCCCCTGTAATCTGATTGAGTCTAGACCGCCGCGTTGGATCCGGAACCCTGATCACCTTGAAATCAAGGTACATTGCATGTTCAGTCTTGCGTTGGTTCCGCAGTCATGGCCCTCATTTTGAGTCTGTTTAAGAGTCCTCCTGTAATCTGATTGAGTCTAGACCGCCGCGTTGGATCCGGGACCTTGACCCCCTTGGAATCATGCTTTCCAAGAGGTTGGGCCAGCTCGATGGACTCTTCCTTGATTCCTGCTCCTGGACTTAATGTGAGGCTCAGGTCTGGTTCCGATGCTAGGTGACTACTGCCATTGGCTTCAACCTACATGTAAGATGTGGATGAAAAAGAAGAAGATACATTTATATTGGTGGAGTATCACACAAAATATTCCTCTTAGTTAAATGCCCAAAGCAAACAAACTTCTTGAACTTCCAGCCAACAACTGCCCCCATAAAACATCAACAACAACAACGTTCATACCCCTGTATCATTACTTGAAATAATGTTAATCATTCCCATATTGTCAGCTTGATATCCCTTTCATTGTTGAGTCACAAGTGGGATCCTTTATTATCATATTTACTTTCCTGAAACTGTACTCTTTACAATTCTGATCAGATCTTCTTCATTTCAAATCTCCATTCCAAACACTTCCTTCAGGTAAAAAAGCGCTACTTACAACCAACTCTGTTTTCACTGAAGGCTGTGGTTCTGGTTGGCCCGGTATGGACTGGACCCTCTCATCACCAAACACTGCCTCACCATACTGTACAGACGATTGAGAATAATAATCCTCCCCAGCACTGTCCTGGTACGCTTCAGTGTCAAGGACACATTCTCCAACCAAAAGTCTATGCGATGATTCAAATGTGCTTCCATGCTGCGTACCGTCTATCGGCGCAACACCGATCACCGTTGTTTGTGGAAAGGTCGACAGTCTAAGAGACGGGTCACATGTGCTTTCTAGCAGGGAATTCTGGAAATAAACACCATGAGCTGGAGTTGCTATCGTATCATCAGAGCTCGAGGCCGAATGTAGGTTTCTCTTGACCGACTCTGTACGATCGGGTGAAGTCATAGCGTTGAAGGACTGAGCAAGCGCTCTGGAAAATGCTAAACGTGCTGATCGTACAGTCGGTGAAAAATGTGATAGATCTTCATCAGGGATCTTCATCAGCCTCCTAGCCGGAGTTGTTGTAGGTGTTGTAGGTATTGCAGGAGTTGCTGTAGGTATATGAGGTGACGAGGCATTGCTCTTAATACTGGGAGGGTACTTAGTAGGAGGTGCTGTGGGCGTTGACCTCTGAACCTTCATGGCGTTGGTTCTGCCTGCTGGACGACCTCGCTGCAAATCACAAAAAAATATTAAAAGAGTTGGACATTTTTTCTAACAGCTGATAGTTTGTTTTTTCCCACAGCTTTGAAAAAACATACTTGAGCTCTTTTAGATGTTTAAAATTGTATTTTGCTCTCAATTCCTTGTCACTTTTCCTTTATATAGGTAAAGTTTATGAATGTGGGAAATATTGGATGCATTATTTGTTTTCAAAGCCATAAATCTCATGATTCATCATTATTCCACACATGCCCCATAATTATATTAAGATAAAACCAAACACGTTGAACAGACTCACCTTTCTCTTTGTTTTCCCCTCTTTTACATGTACCTGTGGTTTACCTTGGTCCCTACAGAGATTTTAAAAAGAAAAGAAAAAATTCAGACCAGCTAGACAATGTTTCAAAAAACTCATTATCAATGACATGATACAATAACTGTTAAGATGATAGTGAAATCTTTGCAATTGATTGGCTATTTATACACAAACAAATTTTCGTAAAATTTAAGGGTGTGCAAAAAGGGTGATGATTTAACAGATCCTCAGAAACACAAATGTTTGTATTGAACATTTTGTATCAGAATTGTAAAAATGCTATCTAGATATTGGAAATAATCTTTAATAGAGGGATTCATTCTGGTCTCAAGTCAATGCCTTGTTCTCTATGAAGTTCCATTAATATACACACATAGCTGATTGGCCATCACACTAGTCATATCTAGCTCTAGATCCCAATAATCTCTTAAGACCACAAAGATCTTATGATGTCTGTGATGTTCCACATGCAGTCATGATAAGATTCATATGAATTTGAATTGAATTAAATTGAATGGTTTATTGAGAATACTTAAAATGGCTGCCCAAGGGCTGAATTTCATTCAGTTTACATTAAAAGCACATGAAATGCGTAGCAATGTTTTAAAAATTATTACATAACGATTGCGAGAATACATTAAAAGATACAAATAATATTAAAAATATAATAACATACTGTATATCAAAAACTAGTATGACCAACACTATTCTAAAAGTTAAATTGGGTGGGCATTACCAAGAGCCTGAGAACACAGGAAATTAGAGGCAACTAGATGTCAATCTAGACTGCTTACCTGTGATGATGTTCACTTCTGTCCCCATCTGATCCCAAGGGTAAGGATGTTTGGAAAGGTGCAAGGATGCTCTCACCTTTGTACTCCTCGGCATGTTCACTGAAACTAGAAAAAAAGTTGTCAAACAACTATATAATTATCTGGATATATATAGCGTCTCTTATCACTTCACAGATACTGTAAGTTTTTGCAACCAATTTCACAATTCTTTCCTTTTTTTAACATTTGCGCAAGTCGCACTTGCAGCGTTGAATCAGCTTTAAAATTCACTATCTGTGCAATCAATTGTTAAATCCGGTCATTCAAATGTTAAGTAAGAGTGTACATTTTGTGCAAGAGCATTTAAATTCATATAATGCCGGCTATGGTACCTCGGTGGTCATTCAAATTTGTGAATGAGCAAGCATGGTTGAAATAAGTACATTTAATTTTTGAAAAAAATATTGCGTTTAGTTTCTTTGGGGTGTTTGAGAAGCTTTTTTTGCTTAGTTTGTGAATATGATTAATTTAATTGTGTAGTTTTTTTCTTATACGTGGGGGTTGCCCTTAACAAATCATTTCGGATTTTTGACTACCCCATCTACATTTGCTGGTTATTCTTTTAAAAACATACTTTCTTCCATATAGAGTCGCTTTAGATACTGTACATGTTCTATTATTGTATTGTATGTATATATTTCATTGTATACTTTATTTTCTTATGTTTGGCATTCGTGGAGAAATAAATTAAATTTAAAGAATTGAATTGAATAACATTGGCTTCATTATATCATGACGTTTGCACAAATCTTAATGCATTCTCATTTGTAAACTATCTCGGCTAAAATGGCAGCCCAACGCGTACGCTACAGGCGCATTACAAACGAGGCTAGGGGCTAGGTTGATTGATGCCTTTGAGAACGAAAACCTTGACTACATGGAATTGGCAGACACCCTCGGAATACAGTGAGCCACTACCAGGTCGTTCGTTGCAACCTTTTTGAGAGATGGTCGACGTGACAAGCTTCAAAGGAGAGGTGATAGAAAGCACAAGATGGATGAGGACATGAAAAACAGTCTACAGCATGTTTCAGAGATCAATCCTCTCATGACTTTACAGCAGATGAAAGCTTTTGCCCGACAAACCAGCCGTCAGCTTAAGCACAATTACCAGTGAGAGTTCTAAACGTTGATAACTACATGTATAAAGTTAACTGAAGACATGCCAGACGCGGGGAATTCTCCCTGTGTCTTGGACATGCACGTCAAAATATGCGCAATGGTTTATGGAAAACAGAGGGGTGGTATAATATGTGGACTAGTTGATCCTTTGGTAGAGCTCCTTATGGCATACCAGCAAGATGGGTTGCACATTGGCAGCATTGGAGGAACTGCAATATGACATTTGCTGTATGCGCTGATGTGGGCGTCGTCCACCACTCAGTCACCAGCGAGACCATCACAAGAGATTTGTTTGAGGTGTTCCTCGCTCAAACAGTACGTCAATGCGAGCTGATGTTCCCGACGAACACAACGATCTTCTTGATAAATGATGACACGCGTCCGCACGTCAGAGCACAGCTTTCCGAAGATACCAACCCTCGCATCCAGCTCAAGTTGCTGCCTCCTTATTAGCCTTCTCTGAACCCCGCTGAAATCTGGCATTTGAGTCTGCTGTCAAGAGAGTTCTTGCTCGTCCAGAATGGCAACATCAAGTTCAGGACCGCATAGCGGCTCAACAGGCAGGTATGAACATGCAGCAGTGGAGGTGTGACCTCAGTGTATCAGTGTAAATGTCATCAGTAATCACCCCTGAGAAATGTACACGTCTATATGCCATGATGTCTTGACCAAAGAGATTGAAGGTCAAATGAACAGACAGTTCACTTTAAGGTGTATTGCTTATGTGCTACATGTTTATATTTTTTGTTGTTGCAGAGAGTTTGAGTCATTAGAGCAAGGCATGCCCTCAAAAGTCTTTACGGATGAAGTTTATACAAAGTTTTACCGATCTCAAGAAGATGTTCACACATTTTATCAGATCTACAGGGATTCGAGTGTCCAAATTCAAGTCAGAGCTGTTGTTTATTTGTATAAGTATATACCAAAATATCCTTTAACTGTAAGCATTATGGGATACCATAGGAGATTTCAATAGCTGTGATTTACGTTGTGTCATGCCACATTTTTATCGATATGTGAATATCCATACTAGAGGCACTCGCACACTGGATAAGTGTACTGGAAACATACAGAATGGGTATAAAGCATGTGCTAAACCACCTCTAGGAAAACTCTGACCATTTATAACATCATTCAGCAAATTCCACAATATAGGCAGAAGCTGAAACGTCAGAAGCCAACAAGGAAGACGGTCAAGGTCTGGACAAACAACACTACAGAGACTCTAAAAGCATGTTTTGACGGTACGGATTAGGAAAATTGTGTATGCTGATCTTAGGATAGGTGAAGTATACTTGTTCTTGCAGGGGTGTTATCCATGTTTAATGTTGTGTGATTTCATCAGCAAAGTGTATCTTAATAGGAAGTGTCTTTGTTCTTTGGATCCAAATTAGGTTACTGGTATTAAGCTTCTCATATCTTATTAGGCCTACAATATATATATATATATATATATATATATATATATATATATATATATATATATATATATATATATTAAGAAAAATTTGGGGGCTGGTAAGAGCAAAAAGAGGAGAAAAGTTGAGGGAGGGAGATTGGAGAGACGGAGAACAAAAGAGAGAGAGAGAGAGAGAGAGAGAATGGGGAGAGGATGGCATGGGAGAGAGAAAGGGGGTGAGAGGGAGAGAGAGAACACATAACTGGTATACATGTATATATCATACAAAAGAACAATTGAATTGAAAAAGTCTTTTTGTTCAAGTTCGTGGAAACAATGCATTTCAAAGTAGGCCTAGGGGTCTAATAGAATTTTTTTAAATTGAGGGAAAAATCATGGCTGTCAACCGTTGAAGACTGAAGTGAACCTGTGAAGTTTGAATTTAACATCAACCCCTGGCCCTGGTAATTAGATTTGTCAAACTTAACAAGAATGAATTTGGAACTAGCAGAGACGCCAAGTTCAAAGATCCGCAATGCATGACATTTTCATGAATCGGCGCGCAAGGGTATAACACACGGTATAGCGGTTTTTTTTAATCTAGCGCGCGCGGTGCGTGAGAGCGTTTTCAGACCCTCAAAATGTGTGATGTCACACCTAATGCATGATACATGGTAGCTCTGAACTAGCTGGATAGGCTATTTTGGGGCGCTAGCACTTTTAGTTTTAGGGGTCTAGATGTCTAGATCTAAAGTTAGATCTAGAGTCTAGTTGCTTCTACTTCTAGAGTTATTTTTTAGGCTTAATTTTAACAAGCTTGCAATCCAGAAGAATCCATAAATATATTCAATCCCTCCCACTCACTCATAGCAGCATTAGTATACTTTGTGTGAAATACATTTTGTTTTAAGATACCCTCTCTCAGCCCCTCTCTCAAACACCAATGCTGTTCAAGATCAACTCTCATGAACTCCCGATTACCATCCCAGAGAAGTTTATCCCAGTCGCCAACAACCCCAACAGACCAGTCACCCGTAGTCAGAGACCAAGCCAGTACATCAACTACTCTGCCAGGACCGAAGCATACAAGAACAGCTTCTATCCTCGTACCATTCAGCAATGGAATCGACTACCAGCCACCATCATCAAAGAGTCAACATCGGCCAAGTCCTTCAATACCAAAGTTTGGAGCTACATGCAGAATGACCACTCAGCCCAGCTGTACACAGGCGGGATAGAGCGTCGATGTGGCTCTACTTCATCTATAAATTAGATGATGTCTACAACCCACTCATTTTATGAGCACCTTATTATTTTGTTTTTTGAACTTTGCATCAGTTGTGATGTTTGTTGACAGTTTGCGATGCCACGGAAATCTGGACGTATATACCAATTGGTCCTGTCCAGTACCACCTTAGATGTAGATGTAGATGATATGCACAAAGCCCATGTTGAACAGCGGACTCAACATAACAAGCTCGCCCGGAGCGTAGGGGTTGTAGGCAGACCAATTACCGTACACCTACCATTTCATCAGAAGCCTTGCGAAGCCATCGTCGCTGTTTACGCTCGACTTTTCCCTCAGCTTCCTCCATTGTTGAAAAGTTTTCACATGCAGTCTGATTCTTCTCCTATCTTGATCTACATCGACCCTTTCTCTATACTTTGCCCGTGCTCTGGCCTGGGATAGTTTTCTTTCTTCGTCCGAAATTCGAGGTCGTCCACGTCCTCTTTTCTTACGTGCCTCCATTTTCGCAAACAATGAACTCGGCTCATAGTCTAACTTCAAGAGATTAAACCAGCAGCGCTGCAGCCCGTTTCTCATCACTCACGTTGTCACTAGCATCCTCCTGAAATTATATCCGTTATTATTAGACATTATCATCCTCAAGTTGATCAAACTTTCCATCAGTATGATCATCCCAGTGCAGTGGAGACCTGCACCACTTCATCATTCTTTTCACCATTTTTCTCTCCCCAAGAAGCTATAGCCAATCATGATCCCTATCTTCAATCATTAATTATCAGCACCATCGTCATCAATCATCATCATCATCATCATCATCATCACAACTATCAACACCACCATCCCCATCGTTAACATCATCTATCACCACAATAGTCAATACCATCATGCATCATCACTAATGCACCCATCAGCATCATCAATCACCATCATCATCACTACCATCATAATCCCCATCTTCATCACTATATCATCATCACCATCATCAATCATTATCGTCATCATCATCACTACCATCAATAATATCATTGTTCATCATCCATCATCACATTTATCATCATCATTCACTGCTTCCATCATTAATATCATCATTAATTCTCATCATCACCATCATCACTACCATCATTAATATTATTGTTCATCATCCATCATCATCACCAGTATCATCATCATATATCATTAGCATATACATTATCATCACCATCCTTATAACTATCTTCATCATCATCGCCATTCATTATTATCACAATCAGCATTACAACTGTCATCTATATACAGTATCAATACCTTCATCTTCATCACCATTCATTATTATCACAATCAGCATTACAACTGTCATCTATATACAGTATCAATACCTTCATCTTCATCACCATTCATTATTATCACAATCAGCATTACAACTGTCATCTATATACCGTACAGGTATCAATACCTTCATCTTCATCACCATTCATTATTATCACAATCAGCATTACAACTGTCATCTATATACAGTATCAATACCTTCATCTTCATCACCATTCATTATTATCACAATCAGCATTACAACTGTCATCTATATACAGTATCAATACCTTCATCTTCATCACCATTCATTATTATCACAATCAGCATTACAACTGTCATCTATATACCGTACAGGTATCAATACCTTCATCATCTTTTCACACTCAAATTCAAATTATAATCCTTGTCAACATCATCATAGAACATACCATCACTGAGAAAAATAAAAAATTGGAAATACACTTTATGTATAACATTATTTCCTTAACTTTAATCAAAAAATGATTCAGGAATAATCTCCTCTTTTACTTGCATACAATTAATCCATTTTTATCTAAAGAATATTTACTTTAATAAAAAATTACATTCAATCATGCATATCATGGCGTCAAGTATAATGTATAAATTCTGTGTCCTACTCCAGTATTCCTGTTTATTGTTCGATTATTAACAGAGACTTGAACAAAATTGCACAAACTTTGTGACGGAATAGCCCAGTTGAAATTACATGTACACATTTTCCACAACCTCATAGCATAAGAAAAAACAAACTCATGCTTTACTAATACCCAAGACAGCAAGAAACTGTGAATAATCACCTAACTTGAGATATTCCACAGGGATAGACGAAAGCTTGGCTTCTAAATTTCAAGGTTTGAGAAGCTTATGTTCATTCTGTACATATTTCAATTTTAAGGCATTAAACTCACAAAGCAATATGCACAATTCAGAGTAGAACTTTTATTTTAAAAAATCAACAATAGAAAAATTCAAAATCAAAATAACACAAAAAATACATATCATTTAAAATGTATGTGCTTTTAAAGGTACTATGTTCCATTTGCAGGCCCAAAAAATGAAAAAGTTAAATTTCAACTGCATTTGAAAGATAATACTAATTGAGAACTTCCCTAAAAAAGGTGGGGCTTGAAAGTGTCTTCAAGTGGGAAAATAATGACTATTAGTTGTCAAATCGACTTTAGGGCTATAGAGCCCAAAAGTAATAGTCTTGATTTTCAGACAATTGTACCGAATGGTCATACGTTTTATGCTGCGCAAAGATTCAATCAGTTTAATCTTGGCCATCACAAGAAGTGGGTTATTGATGTAGACAAATGCTCATGTACCCTTTACAACTCTTTTTATGTATGTTATTACCAAAGAAGAAGAAAAAGCCAGTCAGTCTCTCAATAGTGTCTGACAGAGAAGTCTAGCAAATAAACGGGTTTCCTTGCATAATTTGAATATGAGGACACTGCTAAAGTTTAAATTTCACAGATAGGACATACATGACATATTCATAATTCCTGCAAAGTTCTACAGCATTTGAGGTTGGCTGCAAAAGGGACATAGTACCTTTAAATGTTAAATATTTTCTGACATTTTTTTTTGAATGAGATCATTTCCACACCAAATTTCCCTTCATATAGAAATTATTTACTAAATCATTTTGAATTCAGAAGGAGGGGAGGGAGGGGAGAAGGTGAGTCGATAGGTCAAGCCAAATGTCAATTCACCACGTCCCCCTACCCTTCTCAGGATTATTAATCTACATTCTATCATGATTATCAAAATTAACTTCAACTGTTACCACATTTCTGGACAGAAACAGAATCAAACATGACCACAGACATGTAAATTACCTAAGATTCACACTTCTACTACATATACCTCGTTTGGGATCCCTTTCTTTTCTTAAAATGACAGATTTACAATAAATCAATATTACCAGAACTTAAATACTATCGGTAAACAAAAACTATATCTATATGTTCTCTCAAACAAGCCTCGTTAAAGCTGTTCCAAGTATTTAACATGCACTACTTGAATATAAATGTAACTGTGGGTGTAACAACTCTACCAAAACCTCATCAGCTAATTACAATGCTCAGGGAAATTAGTTTTGAGATAATTTTGTCTGCACTGTTCTGGTTTTTTGTTACAAATTTCCAGTATAGAATATACTTTACGGCAACTGTCGACAGTCAAGGTGTAGATCTTATAGACTTGCTATCAATCTGCATCAATCGCAAGGACTCCGATCAATTTCAAAATTACTATTTCCTATGTCCTAAGTACAGAGTTGCAATTTATATCTATCTCAAGTTAAAGAGAAGGTTGAGTTCTGGGAAGAGGTAAACAATTATTTGTGAGCGTTATCATTGTTATTATGCAAGGGTGGAAGAACATCAGATTAAACATGTTCCCTGAAAAGCATGGCTCTTTAAATGCCTTCATATTCTAAATATGACATGAAACATCGTAAAAATCGGGGGTAGGTTTTTTTTCGCCATGTGCTCGTGTAGTCCCATATTTCAGAACCTTGCAATACACACAAATACTATGCTAGATGATCAACCTTTTCTGATAGATTCCACACCGTTTCTTTCACAATGCAATCACATGACCAGAACTCAACTTTATCTTTAAATAGAAATCAAGGCAAACCAATCACAAATCTTTGTAACAAAGGGCTCAGGGAACAATGTCTAGTCTTGACATCAAGTTGGTGGTATTGCTGATATTGCTGATATTGGAGCTGTAGATGTGGCTACAATATTCCAGTCCGGAGAACTTGATCTGAGATATTGTTCATTGTGATGTTGTACATTTCGCTACAATTTCAAGGCTGAATTGCTGTAGACTTGGCAACAACTTCCAGTCCAGGTTTTTTTTCTCACAAAGATCGTGAGTTGAACTTATCTCTAGGTTGGACTTAACAATAATAGAAAGCTATTAGCATCTTTGAAAATTTCATGTTAAAGTTATTTTAAAAGGCATAAAATGTTGATTCAAATCATTCATATTTTCTATTATCAAAGAGATGTCATTTCCTTGATGTAGAATTTATGAAAAGTCTAAAACATTTGAATTTTTGCTTTTGAATATATTTCAGTGTACGGCTACAAATGACTCTCTATAATGTTTAAGTCCAACTTAGAGTTAAGTTCGACTTATGATCTTTATGAAACACCCCCCAGATGGAGCATTGAGCCACCTGACAGTCTGGATATGGAGTTACGGACATTGGTGATGATGGTGGTGGTGTAGTCTTGGTAAAGCAAGGGATCCCTGGCATCTGTCTATGTACCTCTAACCTTGATCTGCTTCATGTTGGGGTTCATACGCTTACGCATGTCCTTTTTGTATTGCTTGTCCTGTCAATTGAAAGATAGAGGAGATATACATGCATTTGATAACAAGGAAATACTTTTCTTGTACGACATATAAAAGAGATGTGTATATGTGTTTTAAAGGCATTGTTTAACAATGTTAAATCGAAGATGCACAGCCCTACTTGTTATCAGTGTCTGTGATATGGTTTAATATTGAAGCCCTAAAAAAAATTGCACTTCAAAATGATCAAGAAGTGCCTCAAAAAAGTAAAAATCTTTGAGTGATCGGTTTTACCATACTCGTTTTGCCCACTAGACTATAGTGTTATTAAAAACCATTAGGAAGACGCAAAATTTGGTTTCGGTTTCCAATCAGATAATCAGACAGGCGATCGGCTTGTAAAAGTCATGGGGTTCCTGACTGACCTAAAGTTTTATAATTAGCATTGCAGCATGAGCCAAATCCAGGATTTTGTTTCAGAATCTGAGACAAAGTTACCGGATCCCTTTAAAACAAGAATACTTTGTCCTTGTATGGTACATATAGTATTATGATATAACGTCTTTATGTGCTTTCAGAGAGCTTTGGAAATTATTAAACAAGGTGCCGTAGTCCAATGGTTTTAGCACTTGACTTGAAATTCAAGGGTCTTGGATTTGATCCCTGACACAGCACTTATGTCTTTTGACAAGGCATTAATCTACATTTGCCACTCCATACCCAGGAGAGAAATGGGGATCTGGTAGGATGATGAAAGCATTCGTGTTAGTAATGCCCTCACAGTGAACATATGGTAGGAATACTCCCTAGGGAGATGGTGGACGTTATGAATGAATTAATCCAATGACTAGGGTAATCCAGAGTGTTGGCTCAGTCAGTAGAGCGTCCGCCTCACAACCGGGAGGTCGTGGGTTCGAACCCCGGCCACGTCATACCAAAAGACGTTAAAAGATGCGAGTTGTTGCTACCTTGTTTGGCGTTCAACAATAAGGGATAGAGCAACGTCGATCTGGCGCTGCTCAGTGGCTGCCGGGCTCACGATCAATTGGGCAAAAAGAATTTCCGTTTCGGTTTAATAAAATTTGGAGTGGACTATTAGGCTATTATTATTATTATTATTATTATTATTATTATTATTAATAGTATCTGCAAGGCGCTTAGAGAGTGTATTTCGTATTGAGCGCTATATAAATCTAATTATTATACGCATTATCAATCACCTACAGAATATCCTGTATCATTACCCAGGATTTCTTTGAGAGAGGGAGGAGAGACCCCAAGGCTTACAGTGGTAAAGTCCCATTTTTATTCCTCCCAAGCAAAAGTGAAATCAAATACTTAAATAACTAGTAATAATATATAAACTCAGTAATTAACAAAAACATACCTGCCAACTTATCGCAACAAATACTAGGAATCTTCCAAGGCAAAAAAAGAATTTTCAATTTGTAGACTCTTTACACAGAGGTTTTCAGAAAAAGAGAGAAATCTCAGTAAGGTTCATATCATCAGTTCAAAGCCAAAAGATAGGCATGATTCCTCCAGAATATACATTGGTTTGCAGTTATGGAATGAAAATGACAATAACAACACCAACACTTCCCAGGGAGTGTAGAATGTGGAGAACGTGCATATATTGTGTGCGGGTAAGCCTGATTCCGATGACCAGGGTAATAATATATCTGTAAAGCGTTTAGACACATCGTTGTATCGATGTATTGGGCGCTATATAAAACGGAAAATTATTATTATTATTATGCAGTAAGCTTGCGGATGCACCATGTGAGAGAGAGGGAGGATTGAAGAGTCCTGAAAAGGACTCTCTGTAATCTTTCTTGAGGGTGTGTAGTCCTCAAAAGGACTGTTGGTGTAGTCTTGAAAAATGATTATTATTATTCTTAATAAGACTGACCTCAAGGCGACGGGCCTTGTCTGGATCCTCTTCGTTGAGGAGACGATCCTTCTCGACACGACGTTTGTCTTCCCGGCGCTGCTGGGCAAGCTCCTGTCGCTGGGCATGGGCAAGCTTCACGTAGGACTCTGCCACCTTGGCACGGATCTTCTCAGCCTTCACCTTGCCCTGAATCAAATCAACAGAGGATCGTTCTAAATCATATTCTTTATAGCAAACAAAATTTGAGATTGGATTCCAAATACAAATAAAGATACATGTATATGTAGATAGATGACAATGGTAGAAATAATGTACACAAAGTCACAGAAATTGTCAAGTCTGATTTTAACTGCTTCTGACTTGTTCTCATGCATATTAACCAGCAAAATATAAAGACACTGGCAAAAAATTGCTGTAAATCACATTCTTTATATCCATTAAAATTTGTAATGACACTGGCACTAGATTAACAAGTCTTATAGACTAGTTACAAAAATCAACCTTAATAAGCATGTCCACTTATGGAATATGTCACCTTTGTAATGGAGAAGTATGCTAAGATTACCTTTAAAAATGTGCTACAAATACAAACGTGAAATTCTTGTATAAATTTTTCAATAATCTCTAAAAGTTCCTAAAGGGTTTTAGGTCACCATATTCCTTTGAAATTAGAACGTGCATGAATTATCAAAAGATTTGTTCTCATATGCCGTGGCAAGCCAAAGCAATGTTTTGTGCACTAAATGATTAGAATTGGCGATAAACAAGGGAAACGCTCTTGGCGGTCTCGCCTGCATAACGCAATTCAATATGATAACCAGAACGTCAATGAGGTAGCGCTCAACCGTGTCTCGCAACAACATATATCGTAAATTTTAAGTGGTACACTTTTGAACTGGTCAAAAAATAAAAATTTGATGCCCTGAAAGGGACATAATTTCATTTCATTTGCATAAAGTACCATAAATAATCAATGGGGCAAAATCTCAAAATTCTGTGTAGAAGTTTAGTGTTCCAAGGCAAACCAAATCAAAATCAGTCAAGAAATGAGGGAAAAGAAGCAATTTTTGTTATTTTTGGAATAAATTTGCATTACCATAATTAATTAATAGAGAACAATTTCAAAATTCTGTGTAGAAGTTTAGTGTACCAAAGTTAGCTCTACGATATAAAGCAAACCAAATCAAAATCGGTCGAAATATGAAGGAGAAGAAGCATTTTTTGTGATTTTTAAATTATATTTGGAATAAATTTGCATAAATTACCATTTTTAATCAATGGAGTAAAATCTCAAAATTCTGAGTAGAAGTATAGTGTTCCAAATTTAGCTCTACCAGATAAGGCAAACCAAATCAAAATCGGTCAAGAAATGAGGGAGAAGAAGCAATTTTTGTTATTTTTGGAATAAATTTGCATAAATTACCATGATTAATTAATGGAGAACAATTTCAAAATTCGGTGTAGAAGTTTGGTGTACCAAAAGTTAGCTCTACCATATAAAGCAAACCAAATCAAAATCGGTCGAGAAATGAAGGAGAAGAAGCATTTTTTGTGATTTCAAATACATTTGCATAAATTAGCATAGATAATTTCACGATTCTGTGTAGAAGTTTTAAATCCCCCTCCTAGCCCTATCATATGAAACAATCAGAATCAAAATCGGTTGAAAAATAACGAAGAAGAAGCATTTTGAAAATCTTGATGTTAATGCCACAACAAAGTCTAAGTTTGTTGACCATAAATGACCTTTGACCTTCACTTAGTGACCTGAAATTCTACTCACATGATTGGGGAGACTTGATAACCCTATAGTCCAAGTTTTATTGACTAAGAACTTATACTTCCAAAATTATATCTAAAATTCAAAAACTTAACCTTAGGTTAAGTTTTCGATGATGATGCTACAACATAGTCCAAGTCTGTTGACCTGAAATGACCTTTGACCTTGACTTTGTGATCTGAAATTCAACTCACATGATTGGGGATACTTGATTACCCTATAGTCCAAGTTTCATTGACTAAGAACATATACTTTAAAAACTATATCAAAAATTCAAAAACTTAACCTTAGGTTAAGTTTTTGATGTTGACGCCGCCGCCGCCGTCACCGGAAAAGCGGCGCCTATGTCTCGCTTTTTTGCTACGCAGGCGAGACAAAAATGTACATGTTTACATAACTGTGAAGTGCAATAAGGGATGATAGTTTTAAAAAAAAAAGCTTTAGAAATCCAAGCGAAGTGAGGTGCCGAGTGCTTGCGCAAGGCGTTCAACCAAATCATATAAAAAAAAAAAAATCAGGAAAAAAATATTGGGAAGCGATTTCAATCGGGGAATTATCAGACTTGAGTGCATTTAAAAAAAATTAAAAAAATATATATATATATATATATATATATATATATATATTGCGGCTTTTATTCACAACCTTTATGGTTGAACGTTATTTCAGGTGATGGAGCTACAAGTCACACATTTTTCAATACACAGGACCAGGATAAATACTGACCTCCTTGGAGAGACGGAATCTCTTGATCTTATCCACCAGGTAGATGACCATCTTCATCATGGGTAACATGTCCTCGATGTTGCTCTTAGAGCCATTGCCGGGGACTGATGAATACATGAGAAAGAATTCAGAGACGTTAAGATCAGTGCTGCAAGATTTCTGATATCTCTGAATAAACCAAATTTATAACATTTTCAACCACGGGGGACATCACAGCATCAAAAAAGGGGGAGCCAAAGGGGGATTCCCTCAACTTCCCTCAACTTTGTTCACTATCCAGAATTGTTTAAAAAAGTGAATATATGAATATTTAATTAACAATTATTTCAAAACTTTGAGATTTACAGGTGAAACTTCATTGGCTTATTCAGTATAAGATGCTGAGATGCACTCTCTATATCCATTTCAGACTTTTGTTGTCACTGTACGGTTGAGATCCAGGGGAAGGCTACCAAAATAGCCTGGTCCTTTCAATGTCAATTCACAGATAAACCTAAAATTATCATCTTTCTACATCATTGAATTCATCTCTTTGTAGAAGAGGTTGCAAATACAAACATCGTTCACATGTGCACTGTAAAACTTTGAACAAAATTATCTTAATCAACATTTACAAAATTGCAGATTATTTTAGTTTACATAAGTATCTTATTTATTACCTTTGAAGTTACAAATGAGCACCTTTTCAGTTGGAGGCATTGTAGTTGGCTGTTCGTCCCTGTATTAAATAAACAAGAATACTAAATAATAAAATACACAAAGAGGGGCAAAAGTCTGATGATACAAAGGGTAAAATGTTTCACTAGTTTAAATCAAACAGAATGAGATTAAATTGAAACATTTTACAATAGAACCCTGAACAAAATTGCACTTTGTATTACATGTATATAAAAAATAGCTTATTCTGCCACCTACAAAAAGGTACTTTAATTCAATAACAATTTGTATTTTTCATGCACAAAAATCAGATCGTCTTCCTATGGTTATACATATTATCAACAGTTTTGAGGATCATTTCTCTACTGGTTCTTGAGATATCGTGATAACAAGGTCAATACCTGGAATTTCAAAAGGTGACCTCTGTGACCTTTAACCTAGTTACTCCAAAATCTAATCAGATTGTCTTCCTATGGTGATGCATGATATCCTCAAGGTTGAAGTTCATATCTCAAGTGGTTCTTGAGATATTGTAATAACAAAAAAGCAGGACAGACGGATGGACGGACAACCTGAAAACATTATGCCTCCGGCACCATCTTCAGAGGACAGAGGCATTAAAACATGGGAGTGACAAAAATGGGAGAGTGTTCCAAGACTACATCAAATTGGCACTTGAGATTTGCATAGATTTAGTGATCTCCTATTTCAAACATTCATATCTCTCTTACTATTGGTCGGATATATTTAAAACTTTTGTGATTCTGTTTCTCTTATTTCTCTGCTTTCATACAAAAGAACTTATTACAAATGTGATAACAAAACTTTGACAGTAATTCACTTACTCAGCCGCAGGTTTTGGACCAGAAAATTGGTCCGAGATATGCATATAATCAAACATTTCTGGATGGCTGTTCAAGCAGTTCAGAACCTGAAATAAAGGCACAAAAATAAGACTGAAATATAAAAAGATACCTGAAACATTAAAATAATGAAAGTAATAACTCATTGTTTACATACAGAATAACTTGGCTTATATAACTTTAACCAGACAAACCAGAATCAATTAATTTCAAATCGGTTTGAAACTTGCTAAAAAATGAACGTGTATATGTCCTTTGAGTGGTTTTCATATAAAGATCTGACTTGGGTATGGCAACAGACTTATCTTAGTATCTGAAACTCAGTAACAACCTCTGTTAATCTGTTAGCTCTACTGCTTGCAAGCAACCCATTTTCAAAGGAACCTGTACAAAGACCACCTGGCTATAGAGGCCACTTTTGTTTTCCTTGAGTGGTCTTTATATACAGGTGTTTGACTTACCTTAGTATCCAAAACACCATTGACAACCTCCCCTAATTCAGCTAGTACTACTGTGCTTGCAGGCAACCCAAATTTGTCACCACCTCTCTTATCGCCACAATATTGACTCTGTGAGGAAGAAAATGTTAACGGACAGAAAAAACTTAAATGTCATTTTAATTCAATTGTATTAAATTTACTCGCTATGACGATTGAATCAACAAAACAGAAATTCCAGAAGCATGTTTGAACACCTCTTTCTAGGGGCATTTCAGGAGTCATGAAGACTAAATTTCACTTGATTCCACCTTTTTTCCCCCACATGTACCCTCTTATCAAAGCAATATTGACTCTGTGAAGGAAGAAATATAAATCAATGTAAACAGAATCTTAAAAACTAATAGTCAAATTTTCAATTCGTTGTTCATTCATTTGACAAACGAGAGCCCAGAGGCAAGTGTTAATGGGGAAAAGGTAATATAATAATAATAATAACTCCTACTTATATAGCGCTTTTCATATGAGATTTATATTAAAGCGCTTTACAATATTGATGCAAATAAAACTAAACAGAGAAATGACAAGAGAATTTAAAGTGAAATTATCAGACATAAGGTAACAAGGTAAGGTTACATTTAAGAACTAGGTTGAATATGGCTTTTCCTTTAGACTGGTTTTTAATTTTGATCTAAACATAGTTATAACAGAGATGCAACGAATGGAGGCTGGAAGAGAGTTCAACAAGCGTGGAGCAGAGCATGAAAAGGACCTATCACCAAAGTATTTTGTTTTTGCTTTTTTAACGGTCAAGAGAGTTTGATTTGCAGAACAAAGGGGCCTATTGGGTGTGTATAACTGAATCATTTTAGAAAGATAATTAAGGTTGGGGTCAGGGGTCACCCTGTTCTTACCAGATCTTGCATGTCCTTGAGCATGCGGTTAGTGATCTTCTTGGCCCCAAAGAAGAGGACAAAGCTATCCATCGAGTCTGCATCTAGGGTCACCGTCACTTTCTGTGCAAGACAAGTCAAATCAAATATATTGTGTTAAACCCATTGCCTCCTGGAACCAGGGCCCCATTTCACAAAACTTATCATAAGTGACAAATGACAGTCTTTGTTATAAGCTAGTGAAATTCTTGCTTCTGATTGGTTATCAGCAGATTTGTCACCACTTCTTGTCATTTGTCATTGAAAAAAGGCTTTGTGAAACAGGTCCCAAGAGGCTCCTGTATTAAGCCTATGGGAATGTGAGAATCCAGCTGTCAGCGGGTTAAAGTGGTGATTCAAAGTCAAAGACTACATCATTACCTGTAGGAAAGGTAGGAATCTCTGAAGATCAAAAAGTAGTATTTCATATGCTTCTAAACAGAAGATGTCAGATTAAGGAGGAATCTAGTGTTCTTAACATTAGCCTGAAATCTTAGAATCATTACTCCATAATAGGCATGGTTGGCAGCTGTGCTTCATGCCCCACAATCAACAGTTTAGAGGCATCATTATAAAACAGGGGTGAGAGTGAGCACTAAAAAATAATTTGGTTTTTTATTTTTCCTCAACCAACCCCCCCCCCCCCCCTTGAAAAAAAAAAAAAGGAATCAGGGGGGAAAAATTGGTACCTAACAACATTCCCCCCCCCCCCCTTTTTGAGTAAGGGAATTGGGAAAAAAATTGGGGGAAAACAGGGGAAAAAAAGGAGAAATCTGGAAAATCAGAGTACAATCGGGAAGAAACAAATTTTTTTTTTTTAAATCGGAAAATAGGGAAACCAATTTAAATCGGGTAATTATCAGGCCTAATAAAACTACTGATGCAGGTTTACAAACCGATGTACATGTATTGATATGCATAGAGCATACCGGTAATTACTTTTCAGGAAAAATCTTGTTGAAGTTTTTGACAAACGGTCGATTCAGATATATTAAATGAAGGTGGTCATTTACAGTCAAGGACTACAAGCCCTAAAATAAAAAAAGCACATGAAATTTTGAGTCATATAAAAGCAATAAAGTTACCGTTGGAGGTTTGGGAAACAGGTGTATCGATGTGCACAAAGTGAAATCACTCTTCAGGGAAAATTTCATTAAAGTCTAAGTCTCTCATAGTTCAGAGTTAAGAAGGTATTTGGAGTACCTTTCCTTGGTTTGTTTTGCACATATTCTCATGAGGCAATGACTAAATCTCTCATTCCTCTATTCATACCATAATTCTAACATACGACAATCAAACTATTATAATTATCATAATTCTGTCAGTCTGTAATCTCCTTCCCACCCCCCCCCCCCCTCCCATTTATTTCGCCATTGATAAAGGAATGCTTCAAAAATGTAGGATCCATACTCACTATTTCATCCCCCGCTGGATGCATGGTACGAGATATAACACTCAAGAGATCCTGCCTCTTTAAGAACTGTCAAAGAAAAACAAAAAGGTAAATACATAATGATTTGAAGATGCTGGGATCAAATTGAACAACTCATTTTTGTATTAGTAGTAAACATATGAATATTTGTACAATTTTTTTCTTTCTGCATCAATATCTTTCCACATGCATTATTTCTCACTTTTTCTGCCGATAAGATCACTGATATATTGACCTTGTTGAAGCCAAAACAAGAGAACATGTACAGAACAAGTACAGAACAATAGGGCAACTGCCATATAAATTTAAGAAACTTGTAATAGACACCTTTATACCTTAGTTACTCCAGCATGACTGACACCTGTCCAACAACAGACCAACCAAAATATCACATTTCCACAAATGTCCAGGAATCAGGTTGTTTGGAATGTTTGAGGTCGGGTTGGTAGTGAAACTGGGGAGTGTTTCACAAAGACTAAGATTGACTTTAAGTTGGACTTAACTATAGCAGGCTGCTCATACCACTGTTTGCTATCATCATTTACTGGCATTGGTCTCTCAAGGGATGTACAAATCATGGTCACAAATCGACAGAATTTACATTTTTTGATAATTCGTTATTGAAGGAAAAAATTATATCTAAAGCTCATAACGGTGTACATAGTTGCGATTAATCGCAACTGCTTTAATATAAGACAGGGTCCTGGGGCCCGTTTCACAAAGCCTTTTCTTAATGACAAATGACAAAAATCAGTGACAAATCTGCTGATAACCAATCAGAAGCAAGGATTTCAGTAGCTTATAACAAAGACTGTCATTTGTCACGGATGAGAAGTTTTGTGAAACGGGTCCGTGATAATTGTATTTAGCTAACAGCCCTCCTACTAGAGTATAGATCAGACCAAATAATGAGGTAGAATCTAATTTACCGGTTTGTCTTTTTATGGTTTAACATCACAATGCTTGGTAATGTACAGGACACAAAATGAGCAAATACTCAGGGCTTGCCCTCATAGCTACTTACTTTCAGTTCGACAAGCATTCCTTCACAGAAAACTCTCCCTGAACACCAGAGACAGTATCTGTTCTCGCTTTGCTTCAACAGGTTCACTGAAGTAGGCATTTCCTTTGAGCCATCATCACCTGTATTAAAACATGACATTCATTTGAAGACAAAAATTAGTGTTGACCATTATCACCCTAGAAAAATTACTCCAAAGGCAATACAAGTTTGAAATCACTGCACCATCGCGACTCTCTTAGCGGCATTTTGTCAAAGAACAATTACAAAATGATGGACATGCAGTGGGATTCCCAAAGTAATTCTTCTGGAACAACCAATTCCAAGAAAGTCAGTATCAGCCATCAAGTGAGGTATATAGATTAGCTTCGGATACCTACACTACCGCTCAAAGGTTTTGGCATCGGTTCCGCTCCGTAAACCGCACCGAACTGTGTACGGTGAACGGCGAGGATCCGTTCACCGTACGCCCAACTTCGGTTCCTCACCGTTTGCTCACCGTACGCTCACCGTACGCTCACCGTTTGCTAACCGAGGAATTGTGGTTAATAACAAAAAGAAATGTGCGCGCTAAGTCTGCGAGCGCGTATCCAAAGAACTCTCAAAAGTTGCACACGCGTACGCGGAAAGTCAAGTTATTTGTTTTTATTTATCATACCGATGCGCGCTTGCCACTGACGTCACAATCAGTTTATTATTACATCACAATAGTGTAAAAGAATACTCTTTTCATTCCGAGCATAAACACACGACATAATGATACGAAAATGATTATTTACTTGATGTCATTCCCGACAGAATGATACGAAAATGATTATAAAGTTGATTTCATTGCCAAGACAATGATACGAAAATGATTATTTACTTGATTTCATTGCCGACAGAATGATACAAAAATAATTACTTAGTTATTTTTTTGCCGACAGAATGGTTCAAAAATGATTATTTACTTGATGTCATTGTCGAGAGAATGATACAAAAATTATTATTTACTTGATTTCATTGACGACAAAATGATTAATTAGTTGATTTCATTGGCTAGACATTGATACGAAAATGAATGTTTACTTGATTCCATTGCCGACAGAATGATACGAAAGTGATTAATTAAATGATGTCAATGCCGACAGAATGATACGAAAATGATTATTTACTTGATGTCATTGACGACAGAATGATACGAAAATGATTACTTAGTTGATTTCATTGGCGACAGAATGATACGAAAATGATTACTTAGTTGATTTCATTGGCTAGACATTGATACGAAAATGATTATTTTCTTGATTCCTCAAAACATAAATAAAAATGTGTGTGTTATTGTGAGTGAGTCATGTATGGGGATTTCTATTTTTTGATCTGTAATGAATGGAAATTGCCGATTGACTGACTTGATTCCACAAGTTCGGACGTACTGCACATGATGGTCGTTCACCAGACTAGAAAGGGAAAGGTAGCGCGTACATCTACATAGGCTTAGCCAACCAGGCATTGTTTGTAATTAGCTGGAAAAAATGTTCTTTGATAATGAGAAATAACGAGTTTGGGTTGGATTTCACAATACCATCATTATTTCAGAATAATTGTTGAATATTTGAATAACGAAGAGCCTTTATTTCAAGAGGTAAAAGCAGCCACAAATACATTGAACATTATAATGGTCTGATAAACTTAAACTACCCCAGCGTGTAACCTAGTAACCCGAAGACAAAACAAAAGCAAGCAAGTTCATTCATCGATACGCGAGGCACGCAAGTTTGATAATTACATAGGACATGAGTTGTTCATAAAATATTCCCATACCGCTTTGCTCATTCTGGTTTGAAAATACAAACGACCCAACTAAGAATAAACAAGCAGCTGCAGATTTTTAAGCTACAGATTGATAAAGTATTGCATACTTACCTGATTCTATGACGGGATCCCACTTTTAGAATATCCATGTTTAACTATAAATCCGAAAATCAGATGAAAGTTATCCGAAAGATTAATTCCCTTACACACGTCGTTGGAACCATCAATGGTATAGAAGCTAAAAGTCTAGTTTCGGACACAAGAATTCCATTTTAAAACCACTACAACAACGATTCGTACAATCTCGTTCTATCTCGAAATGCTGATTTTCAGATGACAAGTTAGCTCTTCTCATTGGCTAAATAATAATTTGCAAGTTTATTTTTTAAAGCAAATATTTGCTCGTTTTCAGTTGTCATTTATGGTATGACGTCTGAATTGGCAGACTATACAAGCCCTTTCAGTTTCAGCTGGCTGGGGCGTGTCATATTTCTTAGATAAGAACTGTCAAAACATGTCTGGGAAATGTAATCACGTGGAGGAGGGAGAGAGAAGGAGAGAGAGAGAGAGAGAGAGGGAGAGGGCAGAGAGGGAAGTAGAAAGACGGGGTAAGGTAGAGGTGTGGACAGTGACCTCATGTCATTTACTTGTTAATCAATGTCTGACGGGACTTGTAAACATCCATGAAGGGTGATGTCTTCAGATGACCAATCAAAGAATAAAGGATAAAAGGGAAGAGAAATACATGTGGATATTAAAGATTAAAATGGAACGAAGAGGCGACTGTAACGGAATAAAGTATACAAGGAAATATTTAAATAGATGGGAAGAATCAGAAACTGGATAAGAATAAAGGATTCGTGGGAGAGGAAATCTACATGGGAGGAAGAGGAGACTTGATATAAATAAAAGGGTAATAGGACGAACACCCCCGGCCAAGGCAATTATCCCCTCCCCCTCGGAAAATTACCCCCTTTTATTTTCACCCCCCCCCCCCCCCGAAAAAATGCAAATTATCATCAGGGTGGACTTCCCCTTCATTGAACGGGGGAGGGGGGCGTATATTTGTCCTTGGGGCATATTTGTCCTAGGGGAGCTAATTCTCTGTGGATATTCGTTCCGGGGGGGGGGGGTATTTGTCCTCGGATATTATAGCCCACGGGACTTATCGTTCCTGGGGGGGGGGGGGGTTGTCCGAAGGTTCGTATTTCCGAAATATGTAATAGGGTTCATAATCCGAAAATGAAATAGGGTCCATAATTCCGAAACTGGAAAAAGGTACCTAAAAAAAAACGAACATTAATGAATTCAGTAGGCCGAGACGGCCCACCCCCCCCCCCCCATAAGACTTAAGATATCCTAAATAACTGTAGAGAGAGAGAGACATAGACGGGGAGAAATAGTAGAAGACAACAAAAGACAATAGAATGTTGTAAAGGACAAATAAAAAAAAAGGAAAGGAAGGAATGAAGGAAGAGAGGAATATTAGAAAAGGAGGGATAAGAGCGCAATCGGTGATATAGAGTGAAAGGTAGAAGGGGGTATCATTATTGATTGATTAATAGGGTGATAATTGGAGGTCCGAGGCCATCTCACCGATTTCGTTTTTTTTTCTGATTCATTTATTGTTTGTTCGTTTTGTTGCTATTTATTTATTTGTTATTGGCTCCCCCTCCTCCCTTTTTCTTGTATTCATGGGATTGACCGTCTCCCGTTATTATGGAAACAAAATGTACATCATATTACCCCCCCCCCCCCCCTCCCGCTGGATCCGCCAATGCTAGTGTTTACAAATAAACTTGATTAATTTTAAAACAAACAAAACGAAACGGGTCAATATATTTCACGAGTTGTATACAAAAAATAGTGACAATAAAGGATCTCCTTCTTCCCCCTTTCTATTCTTCTTCCTCTCTTCTTTATTTCCCTTACCCTTATTCTCATTCTTCTCTCTTTCTCTTTTATTTTGGCGGGGAGGGGGAGGGGGCCAAGCACACTCCTTCCCCTGGATCCGCGCCTGTATTTCAGGCTTTTCTTGAGCGTTTTTAAATAAACCACGTCCGCCTTCTAATGTCAGCTAGTATGCTTTGAATCTTACCTAAACATTGAAAATGGATAATTTTGTTAATATTTTCTTTTCATGTGTAGCCTGATAACCCAGGCAATACCTCATTTGCACTCAACCATTAGAAAGAGAAGACGATAGAAGTCAAGCAACATAACATATGGAAAGATAGAATTATCTGGCGGCCGCCAAATAATCTAGCTATATTTCCGTACGGAATGATGCAGATAGAAAGAGAAATAAAACAAAGAATAACATGAGAGATAGAAAAAGATAGCGAGATAGAAAGAGAAGATAGAAAGATAAAAACAAAGAATAATGACAGGAAAGAACAGAAGATAGAAAGGAAAACAAAGAATTTCAAAATGAAAATAGAAAGAGGAAATGATAGAAGTATAAAAGCAAAGAGTAACATACGGAAAATAGAAAGAGAAGAAGGTGGAAGGATAAAAACAAAGAATAACATAAGAAAAGGTAGAAAGTAAAGAAGATAGAAGGAAAATAACATAATCATGATAAGGAAAGATAGAATTATCTGGCGGCCGCCAGACAATTATGACTTGGTTCGTAAGTATATGTAAATTGTATTGGAATGGGAACAATACAGTTCAGTTCATCTGAAGAGAGAGAAAGAGAGAGAACCCCTTACACATCAAAATGTGAGCTGAGCCTGAAAGAAGCCGGACTTCAAGAAATCTTTTATGAACAAATTCTAAAGGTCCCCTTATTTCAAAGAGCCCGATGACGAGGGCGCTGGCCGGGAGATTAGAGAAACAATACACCTTTTATGAACCAATTCTAAAGGTCCCCTTAATGGTATTTACTATTTGGAAATTATTTAACGGATTAAATACTGATTGCATATAATGCTTGATAGAATCTTGGGGTTTGGGTACATTTTCTGATGCAAGTTTCACGTCAATAATAGGACAGGAAGCAATGTGTTTGGAGGTATCGTATGTTTATCATGACGCCGAGAAAATATCGATTTGGAAATTGAGAGAAAATTTCATGTACATCGTTAATTTATCCTTTGTGTTATGATGTAAATCCTACTAACATCGTTTGCCATTATGGATTATTTCGGATATGAGAGATTGTGAAAAGAGTAGAAGAAAGAATGAAGAAAACATTTTGCATGAAAAAGCGGGTGAAAATGGATGCAAAACAACTGAATCGTTCACTCGCCCCAAAGTAGTCTGGAAACGCTTGTTGCATTATCGGCGGTATAACTTCAAGGAAACACTGATAATAAACGAAAATACCCGATGTTTGTGCAGATTCTAATTTTTCCAACACTATATAAATGTAATTATTACATATGCACAATATACACATGTTAAACCACATGTTTACTTCCAAGGGAAAACATACAACAGTCTTGCAATTTGGCATGTTTTTAAAAATGAACTGTGTTTGGATAACATTTCAGATGTTATATCAAATGACCTTCAACATTATAGCCCTTGATTTTATCTTATTATGAAGATTTCAAGAGATGAGGTGTAAGTTGAATGTATGTTGTAAAATGTATTTTATAACCGAATAAATACCTCTGAAGAGGAAATAAAAATAGAAAAAATCTCTGAGTAATAAAATCTGACCAATAGAATTAGGCCCACCGGGAGCTTCGAACATGACCTTGATATTGCATACCAGTGAGCAAGTTTTGTATGTTTATTTATTTAAATACGGTGATTAAAAAACATGATTTCATCTCTGCATAAACTGTTTTTCAGCATGTCCGTACATGGTACATTAAAATACATATGAATACACTTAATCATCAATATTCATGAGCGCATAGTCACGCGCGGTGTGAAGTTGGCAAGGCTCCAAGAAGTAAGGTCTTAGCGTGGGAACCATAACTTTCTCCCTGCCTGGGTGAGACCGTACATTGCGTAACATGCACTTTCTCTGTCATCAAGTCACTCAGCAATAGATTAAGATAAGAGTCAGTCGTTGAATGATATAATTATGTCAACAAGATAAGAGATACCGTAATTTGTTTCTCTTGAGACTTGGTGGAATGTGACAAAGGCCACGCGAGTGGAATAAATCAAGTTTAGGGGTGAACTATATTTGCGATATTTTCTTAGTCTTGCTTGCTATTATATTATTAAAAAATTTGGTCTTGCTATATATATATTACTCAATCATACTCGACAGGATAATACGAAAATGATTACTTACTCGATTTCATTGCCGACAGAATAATAGGAAAATTATTATTTAACTTGATGTCATTGCCGACAGAATGATACGAAAATGATTATTTACTTCGATGTCATTGTCGACAGAATGATAAGAAAATGATTCATTAAATGATGTCATTGCCGACAGAAAGATACGAAAATGATTATTAACTTGATGTCATTGCCCACAGAATGATACGAAAATGATTATTAACTTGATGTCATTGCCGACAGAATGATACGAAAATGATTATTTACTTCGATGTCATTGCCGACAGAATGATACGAAAATGATTATTAACTTGATGTCATTGCCGACAGAATGATACGAAAATGATTATTTACTTTAAGTCATTGCCGACAGAATAATAAAAAAATGATTATTAACTTGATGTCATTGCCGACAGAATGATATGAAAATGATTATTAACTTGATGTCATTCCCGACATAATGATACGAAAATGATTATTAACTTGATGTCATTGCCGACAGAATGATACGAAAATGATTATTTACTTCGATGTCATTGCCGACAGAATGATACGAAAATGATTATTAACTTCGATGTCATTGCCGACAGAATGATACGAAAATGATTATTAACTTGATGTCATTGCCGACAGAATGATACGAAAATGATTATTTACTTTAAGTCATTGCCGACAGAATAATAAAAAAATGATTATTAACTTGATGTCATTGCCGACAGAATGATATGAAAATGATTATTAACTTGATGTCATTCCCGACATAATGATACGAAAATGATTATTAACTTGATGTCATTGCCGACAGAATGATACGAAAATGATTATTTACTTCGATGTCATTGCCGACAGAATGATACGAAAATGATTATTAACTTGATGTCAGTGCCGACAGAATGATACGAAAATGATTATTTACTTTAAGTCATTGCCGACAGAATAATAAAAAAAATGATTATTAACTTGATGTCATTGCCGACAGAATGATACGAAAATGATTATTTACTTCGATGTCATTGCCGACAGGATGATACGAAAATGATTATTTACTTCGATGTCATTGCCGACAGGATGATACGAAAATGATTATTAACTTGATGTTATTGCCGACAGAATGATACGAAAATGATTATTTACTTCTATGTCATTGCCGACAGAATGATACGAAAATGATTATTAACTTGATGTCATTGCCGACAGAATGATACGAAAATGATTATTTACTTGATGTCATTGCCGACAGAATAATAAAAAAATGATTATTAACTTGATGTCATTGCCGACAGAATGATACGAAAATGATTATTTACTTCGATGTCATTGCCGACAGGATGATACAAAAATGATTATTTACTTGATTTCATTGCCGACAGAATGATACAAAAATGATTATTTACTTGATTTAATTCTTTATACATTAGCAAACGTGATTCCTAGATCTGCATGAGGCTTTATAAAATCTGTCATTGTTACGTCACAATACAGCTTTCAATGCGTGCGCGATCTTAGCTCACCACGTGCGCGCTTTTAGCTAACCGCGATTTCTCACCGTTCAGAGAAATCCGCGCGTGCGCTCTCTCTTGCTAACCGTTTGCTCACCGTATGCTCACCGTTTGCTCACCGTTTGCTAACCGAGACTTTGCGGTGAACAACAAAATCATGGAGATTAACCTCGGAGGCTAACCGAAGGACATTGCGCACCAAACCGTTACCGAACCGATGTGCCAAAACCTTTGAGCGGTAGTGTATATTGCGCATGCGTAGTACATGAAACAAGCGCTCGCCACATGAATGTATCGTACACCGGGAGTATGTAAGTCCCGTAAGTGGCTCTAAATTACATGCAAGAGGCAAACATTTGGGCATTTGGGGTATAATTGGCGATAGCAAGAATTGCAAGGTCATCATTTATACAGGTGTAGAGAGACAAATGTGGGCAAAACGCTGTCTGACGTTATAAGAATCAAGCAACTAACAAACCCAGGACCTCTCTAGTGAGATGAGAGTCAAGAGCCTTCACCAATACACCATGATGCTCCCCCGATCATTTTTACGTAAAAATGTACTCTTGGAAGTTCATTTATGATAACTTGTGGCAGATAAGAGAGGTTTAAAATCATTTGCTGTCTGACCTGTTTATGCTAATATAATAATAGGTCCATTTATATAGCGCAGCTACTATATGAATATACTCCGGCTGTAGCTGAGCTGCTGCCAGGATAAGGCCTTAAAGGCCAAGTCCACTCCAAAAATAACTTACTTTCAATAGAAGCAGAAAAATCAGACAAACCAAATCAAAAAAAAGTTTGAGTAAAATCTGATAACTACATGTTATAAGGAAGTTATGAATTTAAAAAAAAGAATGCAACAATGGAAATCATTACACAAATTGCCAATTAGGTTATCAGTTTGTGACATCCTTGCCTCACTATTTATCAATTGCTTTTTAAATTTGTATCCATTAATTTCCCTTTTTATCCCCCAAAACTTGATTGGTTTGTCTGATTTTGCTGCTTCTATTGTAAGAAATTTATTTTTGGAATGGACTTGGCCTTTCAGCATTTAAGCATTCAAGGAATTTCTTCCTACCGGGTACCCATTTACTTCATCTGGGTGAAGAGTGGCAAATGTAGATTAATGTCTTGCCAAAGGACATCCGTGACGCTGTGGGACTTGAACCAGGACCATGTGATCCACAGTCTGGTGACGTACCCACTAGACCACGACACCTCTATACGTTCCATGCTGAGTCATTCTCCAGCATTCCAACTTACCCACGAGAGCAAAGTTTGCTTCCAGGAGTTCCTTATGGCAGTTGAGCCAGGCCGTGGCAAGGCGCTGGTTCTTGGACTTGCCATTCATGTAGTTGAGAAGGTAAGCCGCCACCCCAGCCAACATCAGCAACTCAAGGTAGTAGCTGTCCCAGCTGTTACGCAGATGAAGGGGGACCTGAGAGGAACAACACCAAGTACCGTACATTAAAGCCACATTATCTTTGGGTTGTCAGGGGTAATTTGAAACTATTCAGGTACAGTGAAACCTGTCTATAAAGACTACCCAAGGGAGACCAAAAAGTGGTCTTTAAAGGCAGGTGGTCTTTATGTACAGGTTCCTTAATAGTACATGTTTCAATGAGAAACCATTTTCAAGGGAAACAAACAATGTGGTATTTGTAGACAGGTGGTCACTCAAGCAGGTTTGACTGTATTTCCCTGATAACCAATGATATCAATCAATGGACAGGTCTTCAAGATTCAAGTTTTATTGTCTTTCACTGGTGTTACATACACCAATGTTACCCATGTTATGAACATAGACAAAACATGGTATCATATGATAAGAGCCTGAAGGGTGTTAACCCTATCTGAGAGTATATGAGTAAACACCCGGGGGGGGGGGGGGGGGTCATAAAGCTGTTCGTAAAGTTACGAATGACTTAAATATGAAAAGCAAAATGGGATCCTCAATGATTTTTAACTGCATCAACTTAAGTTGAACTGTGCGAATGTAGATTTAACATTCTTATTATAACAAACATTTTTAATGCAAAGTATATTTTTTGCTCTCCTCTCATAATAATGGGCACATGCTCCACTAACTTTTTGCAAACTGCCCTGCAAGAAAAAGGCATCATCTTCAATTGAAGAATTATTTATATGGCATAAGATTTCTTTGAGTGTTTTCAAACCTGCACAAAACAATTACCGTAAATAACGTTGTATTAACCGCACTTTTTTTACCGCCGGTAAACATCAAAAGTTGGGGGTGCGGTTTATACACGTTACAGACATAAATCATGCTGCAAATTGTGAGAAGTCCGTCTCTACTAATGTTGTTTTACTTATTCCATTGGTGGTTAGAGCATGTTATAAACAAATGATATGAAAACGCCAGTTTATTATTTAATATGTAAACTAAATTTGATAAAAATATAAGTGGAAAGACGGCACATTCTGGCCGAGAAGCCACGCTATCTAGAGCGGGTATTGGCAGCCCATCGCGCACCGAAGCCACCCCTAGCCGTCCCCGTGCCCAGACAAGTCCGATCTCCTCTTAATCCGTAACCAACTGGAGAGAAGGACAAAAGAGATAACATGTACTAGACATTGATTGACACTATCCAAGTCAAAATGTTCCCTATGTTTTGTCCGAGATGTCCATTGTTTCATCTTAAACATCGCTAAGACTCACCGACCTTTTGGGCTGAGTTAATCTCCCAATAACAATAAAACGATATGGCTGTCCACGTCCGCCGGCGTGCGTCCCGCTCGATTGATCAAGCTAACACAATAGCAGGCTTTCTTTCACAACCGCATGCTTTGATATCGTTACTGCTTTTAGAATGCGCTTGTTTATCATGACATGTTTTTTTCCTGGCGCGATGCGCTGTACTAAAGTGAATCAGGGATAACTTTGAATCTTAATTTTAGTCTTCATATTTTATTGATAATATGAAGAATATTCTAACAACTTCTTTTATCATTATTTTGCAGGTATCGGAAGTCGATAGGCATTGTTGAGTTACACGAGGTTGGAGCAATTTAGCCTCGACATAATAAATAGAGCTATAATGTTTTTATTAGGATGATTAACCCCATTATGAGAAACCTTTCATATTAATGCTAACAGTAGAATTATTTTATGACATGTGGCGAACATATTTAAAACAAATTGAGAACTATATGCATGATCCATGTGATAAATGGATTGAAATGCGATAATGAACTTAAAGAAGAGAGGGAGAGGGAATTAATCTGTTAATGACAGTGAGAAGAACATGAAGAAGAGATTGCTTAGACTACATTTGGTATGTTTCAAACTTATAAACGTAGATTATAGATTGAAATGAAGACACGTATATTATGTACTTCTTCAAGGAGAGAGAGAGAGAGAGAGAGTGAAAGAACAGAATGTCAGATGATAGGAAAATGCCGTTATGGTTTTGTTGAAACCTACGGTACAATATTGATGGATTGAAACTTCAAAGAGAGAGAGAGAGAGAAAAAAACAGAATGAAAGATAATAGGAAAATACGGTAATTATTTTGTTGAAACCTACGGTACATAAATTGAAATGTGGAATAAATGTGCATGCAATTTAAGGAGATAAGATGGTACGAGTCAAAGATCAGAGCAAAATGTTTTGGTGATATCTACCGATAGGTGTATTATCAGGGGGGTGGGGGGGGGGGGTGCTCGGTTATCATTTTTATACAAGTCACAACCAAGAGGAAACACCGAATATGAATTAAATGGTCATCTGGAATCAATCAGGTAAGGCAATGATCGATATTATATCATACGTAGAAAGCAAGAAGTCGTCAGCGTGCCTGGCTACGTGCTATAATTATAATGCATGTCGATCTCGTCATGTACGGTACTAAATGATGACCCAAGTTTACACACCGTTACAACATGGTGATTTCCCTCGATTAATTGAACATAATAAACCGTAGACCATATCTATTTCTTGACGGATTAATCTACCTTGCAATCAATAGCATTATATTTGCGGCGCGATAAGTAATTTCTTACACATTTCACTGGCTCTGTTTGATTGCAAATCGTAGCGGTACTTGTACATGCAAGCATGCCATGGTATGTATTGCACAATATCCGCCAAGCTAGTTGCGCTGGTGGAGCCGGAGACGGCGCCCTTTTTTTTTAAATTATAAAAGGGTTACTTTTCGATAAATGTAATAATTTCTGTCGGCTACCAAAAATATTACAACTCTTCAATCAAATCGAAGAAATAGTAGCTTAATATTTGTCACTGTTAATAATAATAATAATAGCTTTATCTTAAACTGTCAATCGAAAATTAAGAAGCGAGTACCGGTACGATAAGGTATATGGACATACACCGGGGTTTATATTTTTTTTTTTAAAGAGAGAGAACGGATGTGTCATAATAGCTTTATTTTAAACTGTCAATCGAAAAATTAAGAAGCGAGTACCGGTTTGATAAGGTATATAGACATACACCGGGGTTTATATATTTTTTAAAGAGAGAGAACTGATGTGTCATAATAGCTTTATTTTAAACTGTCAATCGAAAATTAAAAGAAGCGAGTACTGGTATGATATATACCGGGGTTTATATATTTTTAAAAGAGAGAGAACTGATGTGTCACAATAGCTTTATTTTAAACTGTCAATCGAAAATTAAAAGAAGCGAGTTCTGGTATGATAAGGTATACGGATATATACCGGGGTTTATATATTTTTAAAAGAGAGAGAACTGATGTGTCACAATAGCTTTATTTTAAACTGTCAATCGAAAATTCAGAAGCGAGTACCGGTGTGATAAGGTATATGGATATATACCGGGGTTTATATATTTTTTAAAGAGAGAGAACTGATGTGTCATAATAGCTTTATTTTAAACTGTCAATCGAAAATTAAAAGAAGCGAGTACCGGTATGACAAGGTACATATATGGATAAATACCGGGTTTTATATAATTTATAAAGAAAGAGAGATGAGTTTCGTATGTTTAGATCTCTCTATATTTTGTATTTGTTTGTAAATTGAACATTTTCAGCCTGCGAGCTGCTTGTATGCTGTTCTTTTGCACTAAACCAAACTAAACCAAACCAAACCAAATCTATTGTTCGTTCGTTAAACAATGCGCACAAGAAAACAACTTCGCTACTTAAATCACTTCCTTTGTAAGGATGAGCATTAGCGGTGTCCATTGATATCGCTCGCGGATCCTTTGATGACTGATCTTGGCTGTCACCATCTCCAGCTCGAAAAGTATATAAGACGGGATGATTGCCTTGTTAATCATGCGTTCTTTCACTCTCATCGGTAAAGACATCATTCTCTCCGGATTCAAGTTCATCGATCTGCCACCAAGCTACCTATCAACCACCGTGATTCAATCGTACTACCCATAGCGACAATGCCTGCAAGGCGATCATTCTCAGCGGCCATCAAACTCTCCGTCTGCCGGTATGCAGAAGAGTTTGGTAACCGAGCGGCAGGACGGCAGCACGGGATTGACGAGTCGGTGATTCGGCGTTGGCGAGAGGGAATCGACAAGATCAAGGCGATGCCAAGTAGGAAGAAAGCCAGGAGAGGGAAGACTGCGAAGTGGCCATCGTTGGAGGAGAAACTGGTCGAGTGGGTCCACGAAAAGCGGAAGGAGGGTCTCGCCCTTTCAACTGTCGAGCTCTGCATCAAGGCACGGTGCATTGCTGAGGCCGACGGTATCGATGACTTCCCTAGCTCTCGGATGTGGGCTCATCGCTTCATGAGTCGCCATGACTTGTCCATCCGCCGTCGCACTCACATCGCCCAGAAGCTTCCCGACGACCTTGACGAGAAAATCACAAACTTCCAGCGCTTCATCATCCGGCAGAGGCGAGAACATCAATACCCGCTGAGCCGTATCGGAAACGCCGACCAAACCCCGCTGACCTTCGACTTGCCACGGGCAAGGACCGTTTCCAAGAAGGGAGAGAAAACAGTGACGGTGGTGACCACAGGTCACGAGAAAGATCGGTTCACTGTTATGCTCTGCTGTACGGCTGATGGGGGGAAGCTCCCTCCCTACATTGTTTTTAAGCGCAAAACAATGCCTAAGGTGACCTTCCCGAAAGGTGTCATCGTTAGGGTCCAGGCGAAGGGGTGGTTTGACGAGGAAATCACCAAGGACTGGGTTAGGACGGTGTGGGCTCGGCGAGATGGCGGCATCTCGAGAAAGCGAAGTCTGTTGGTCCTTGATGCCTTTCGTTGCCACAAGTCGGAGCCAACGAAGAACGTCCTGCGGCACCATAACACCGACATCGCCATCATCCCTGGGGGGATGACATCGTTGCTGCAGCCCCTTGATGTCTCCATCAACAAGCCTTTCAAGAGCGGCCTGCAGCAGCGGTGGACTTCTTGGATGATGGAGGGGGAGAAAACTCACACCAAATCGGGGCGGACACGCAAGGTGGATCTGCCAACCATCTGCCAATGGATAGCCGACGTGTGGGATTCGATCCCAACCGAGATGGTGAGGCGTTCCTTCCTGAAGACCAGCATCTCAAACAACCTCGACGGGACTGAGGACGATCTCATCTGGGAGGACAGCGACGACGGAAAAGACGACGACGAGGCATCGGATGGAGAGCTACGGGGAATCTTCGAGGACTCCTCCGACGAAGAGGATTTCTACGGGTTTTAAATAACCGAATACCTACCGGTACACCCAAACGGCCCTTTTCAGGGCCACAAATGATCAAGAAAGATACCAAAATAAACACTTTTGTTTGTCCTTTCACTTCTATTTTTCCCGCTTTCTCTCTCGATCAGTCTCTTTTATCGGCATTCATTTCCTTCATTCATTTCTTTCATTCCATCGGCTTACTTTTTGTTATAAAAGCCTTATCAAACATCAGCGATATTTAATTGTTTTTGCTTTCCCATTTTCTCTTTCTCTCTTTCTTTCTCTCTCTCTCTTTTCTTTCTTTCCGTCGGCTTACTTAAGTTATAAAAGCTGTATTAAACATCAGCGATAATTAATCGTGACACTCTCTCTCGTTCTCTTTACTTTGGCATTGATTTCTTTCTATCCTCCCGTCGGCTTACTTATTCTAAATGCCTTATTAAATATCAGCGTTTGTTTTCGCTTTCTCTCTTCGAAGTCTCTTCCTTTTCTCAAACGCTGTTGGTATCTGCAATTTTTTTCATTCATTTCTTGCTTTCCGTCGGCATGCCTCTTGTCGCTTCCCTCCCTTCGATCTGTCTCATTTTGTCCTCAAATGCTGCCATGGGGGTATCTGCAATCAGTTTCTTCATTCATTTCTTTCTTTTCGTCGGCTTACTTTGTGTCATAAAAGCCAGTAAAATCGGCGATATTTAATTGTTTTCATTTCTCCCCAACCCACGATTCGTCTTTTTTTTTTTTTGATATTTAAGTGGCACTCATTTCTTTCGTTCCGTAAAAGCCAGTAACATCAACAATTTAAACTTTTTTTTTTTTTCCCGCTTGCGAAAAAAAAAAATAGAAGGAAAAAAAAAAAAAAAAAAAACATTTTTTTTTTTTTTTTTTTTTTTTGAGGGCGAAAAAGAGGGGTGCGGTTTATACACGAGGGCGGTTAATACAACGTTATATACGGTAGGTATTTATTTACAAAATCAAAGAAAAATCAACATAATCTCGTCTCACATGCAGAAATTAATCAAAGCGTTGGGGTTCCTACAAGTATTCAGCCATCAGGGCATATATGGAAAGAAAACTGTGATGACTCAGGCCTACTAATTAGTGTCGTGGTCGAGTGGTTTAAGGCGCTTGACTGGAGATGCGAAGGTCGAGGGTTCGAATCCCGACACAGCACTAACATCCTTTGGCAAGATATTAACCTACACTTGCTACTCTCCACCCAGGTATTATATGGGTACCCGGTAGGATGCGACCGTCATTGTTGGTCAAACAGTTTTGAGAGTCAAGTCACGCCTGGCTAAAATGCTCCCCAGGGAGTGGAGATTGTGCACACAGTGTGTGCGGGCAAGCACTGAATCCAATGACCGGGGTTTATAGTACATTGTATATCTGTAAAGCGCTTAGAGACGTCCGAGATGTATTAAGCGATATATAAAAGCTGAATATTATTATTACCTTAGTGATTTCAAGATCGGGTGCCTCTTTCCCTTTTCCTTTGGCAGGTCGCTCCTCAAAATTCTCAAACTCTTCTGTATCCTGGAAGTGGTCAAAGTCATCTTCATCCTAGAAAGAGCAAAGAAAATATCCAACTAAACCATCACAAAAAGTACACAGAGACAGATGACACTGGTTGAAAATATGATAATCCTACATTAAAAAGTTCATGGGTTATACGTAGGTCACCTATTAAGCCTTTCTCAGAGTCAGTGATATCTACAAAAATAATATTTTCAGTTTTTCAAGTTTTTGCAATGCCAGCAAAAAATCCTTATGTGAAGCGGGATTTAGCGGTAAATAATATACCTATCAGCGACGAGCCCAGATACTTTTTTCCTTTTAATTTAGTAATCTATTCTTCCCTCTACCCATCTTCAAATAATGTTAAATTCTGATGATTTGCTACATCGTTCCCAATGCTGCTATGGTTCGCATACGCTCTCTGGGAAAACATTGCACATGCTCGCTTGTCTTTGTTTGTCTGTCAGGACAAGGATTTTCTCAGAAAAGTGTACTGCACATGAAACTATCACGCTCATGGGAAAGTCAGACTGCAATGATCGGCATTGTTTGCACGACAACAAGATAATAGACTCAACGGCATGGGATCAAAGTTATACAATGTATGGAAATGATTAATTTAATAAATTTAAACTTTATCTTTATAGACTAATTATGGATATTTTTGTGAAATATTGACATCAGCAATTTATAATGATGAAAGACAGGCTAGTTGTTTTTATTTATTAGTGTAGTGAATTTTCTACACGTGACACATGTAGTGGTGGTTCGCTAGTGTACACATGTAACAGTATACAAGGTCCCAGCACTATTTATAAGTCACTTATATACAAAATACAAATAAAATAGTACCTGTGATTTGAGTTTGACTCTCACATTATAGACAGGACTCTATACTAACAATTGCAGGAGGTAAAAAATGAAATTTTAAAGGTCTGCATGCACGTGCCCTCTGTTTAAATTCAAACTTTGAGAGTCTAGCTTCAAACTCGTTGATCCATGTGCATCGGTTCCAGGTTCATGTTGATCTGGTACTAACTATCATAGCAGAGGTTATAGAAAATCGAGAAATTCTTACATCAAGCATATCCTCGTCTTCATCACCGAATTCATCTCGATCGATTACGTCCTCCCCGTCTTCAGCCATCACGTCATCAAACTCCCTGTCATCATCCTCTTCCTCTTCTGTCTCCACAGCGATGAAATCATCATCCTCGTCTTCATCTAGATCCTCAAACTCTGCAAACTCATTGTCTTCCATCTCGGCCTTATGAGCCGCTCCCTTGGACTGGACCAGGGCTGGGAGGCTGATCCCAAGGACCAGTAAAACCACGATCAATTTGGAGAGATGCATTTTTTTTTCTTCTTCACTTCTCCTTCTCACAAGAAGTCAGTTCAATTATTGCTTCAGTGGACTACCCTGTTGAATAAGAGAGAGATGCAGCATTAGGCCTGGGACCAATATTCACACCATTCAAATAGCTTACCGTACTGCCAAACAGCACTTGAATACCACCTCTTCCACCCTTTGGATATTCACCTACATGTAACAATGAATAGTAATTTTGATATTCCAATATCAATAATTTCATGACGACATTGGTATTTAAAACATCAAGAAAATACTACACAAGAGGCAAGAGTATGATGGGGGAGGAGGGGGAGGGTGTTTCCGAAAAACAAAAAAAATTCATCAAGTAGCACTGACTATCATGAATAATTGTCCTTTATAGAAGATTTATGAAATATCTTTTGTAAACTTCTTTAAATTGCTGTTAAAAATCAACTGTCCGGATACACAAACTGTCCGGATGTACACAACCTGTCTGGACACACAACTACTGATAAAGTGGTATTTGAGTGCAAATTTCCAAATTTTTTATTAAAGGGATGGTTGAGTTCTGTTGCAGAGGGCGCTACAAAAAATAATTTTTTATGAGATAATGAAAAACTGAGTGTCAAATTTGAAAGAACATATTTGAATAACCGATTCAAACATGGGTCCGTTTTTTCAAAGTTTCAAAAATTCCAGAAAAAATTGTGAAAAATGGGCTTTACTTCGATCCCCCCAGAACAGGTCAAGACAGTAGGGGCACTGGTCTGAGAATGAGGATCGTCCACATGAACTGATGAACGAGGATATCCTTGCCTCGTAAACGCGGACAAATCGCTTCCTAAAAAATAAGGATCGGACATTTTTTTTTCAGCGCTCCACGGGCGTAGGTCTAGGGTTCCTGATCCGCGCGCTGACAGTGCCCAAAACGGATTTAGTGTAGAGCCTAGGCCTAATACTAGACTAGTTTAGATCTACCTCCACTGGCACTGCCAAGTTCACCGTTTTAGTTTCATTGGTTGTCCGTCTTCTCGAGTCAAGGATTTATCGTTCATAATAATGTGAAAGTCTCTGAGTCTGAGTCTGTGCAAAGTAAGTAAGCGTGAAATGCATCAAGGAGCATTGGTCATCGTGCGATAGCTCAGATGGTAGAGCAGTGGTTTCGTAATCCGGTGACCCGGGTTCGAAACCAAGCCAAGGCGATGCGCTGGTGCACTTTTTGGTAAGGCATTAAATCTAATCCTCATTAATACCAGGGGTGGTATTCTGAACATTGTTGTAAGTTTTGTGTTATCTTTTGTTGTATCTTCCAGAGATAACACAGCGCTAATATTGTTGTAAGTTGGTATTCTGAACATCATTTTATCCCTGTGTTATCTCTCGAAGGACCGCCTCTATCTTATCTTTGACCACTATTGACACGACCATTTGTATGGACCCTACCAATCAAAATCTGTTTTATATAAGCATTATAAGTAGGTCAACCAATAGGAATAATTTAGGTCATATCTAAAGATGCGCCTAGCGCATACTAATCTTGAGCGTAATTAGTTATTTGAGCGCTTATTACGCGCGTCATCATTACGCGCTGTTGAATGTGGATCATGAAGACAAATCATGCTTTCATCATATTGGTTAAGATGAGAGCATTAAAATCATGATATCCTAGCATGTAATTTCTTAGAAAGTTCTCATCTGTGATGTTTCCGGTCAACACACAATCTTCTTCTAACTCGTCTTTTGGCACGAAGTTGGTTCTGGGCAAGAAATATTGTCGCCATTATATCACAACGAAAGATACAACAACCCCCTACCTGTTGTAAATATTGTTGTAAATACCATGCAAAATAAGATAAGATAAAAGATACAACAACTTTCAGAATACCAATTATCTCGACATATCTCTTGTGCGCATATGCAAATGAGGATTAAACGCCACTTTATTAATAATTAATATGCACAATTACAAGCGCACCAAACTATGAGCGCAGGCGCGGCCAATGAGATGAGAGAAAAGATACAACAAAAGATAACACAAAGTTACAACAGTGTTCAGAATACCAACTTTATCTTATCTTCAAAGATACAATAATAGAGATAAACACAGGCCCGGGTTCAGAATACCATGAATACCGCCCCAGGTCCCTCGGACTCGGAGAGGACCTAAAGCAGTTGGCCGTCTGGTTGCTTACTTACAAGCATTTTTGCTTTCTTAGCAGTCAGGTAAAATAACCACCACATGAGGATCGAAAATAAGAATTGTCCGTGAAAATGTGGAAGATCATTATGGACGTGACTGCTCAATCAAGCCCTTTTCATGGTCAACGTAGACTATTTTGCATTCTGCAATATTTTCTGAATTTTGGTCGGCAGTCTGGACTTAAATCCGAGTCATAATATCATAATATTACAAGAAAATAAGAACCAAATAATCCGATTCTAAGAACGAAGAGCATCTCAAGATTATTATTAAACAAATATGACATACATTGAGTACACTAAATACGAAAAATATGGAATAAAAGCCAATGAATTACCTCAATAATAAGTAGAAAAGGAGTTCCTTTCCACGCTAACTTGTTATAAAGATTTAAGGATGTATTACTTTTCGTTTAATATCCTCCTGAAACTTCTATCAATAATTTGTAGTTCTTTATAAGTTTTTTGATATAAGGTGAATAAAATATAAGGCTTATAGAGTAATAAAAACATAATACTTATCTAGATATAATATATGGTTGATATTTATCAGATAAAATATAGCAATAATATGATAAGCTATGGAGTAAAGACTATTATTTAAGCGGTTATCGGATTGGTCCGGCGTGCGCTCTAAATCCAACGAACTCAAACCATGTCTAAGTCACTACGTAGCATTAGAGTTGTACTTCGAATGGAACCGAACATTTTGCTGTCTATCCGCGAGCCGGATCCACCGGGTGTGGGTGTGTTTGTGTGAGGGAGGGGGTGGGGCAGGGTGGAGTCGGCATTGCACCGGTAAAATAACCTCCATATTTTTGTTTTAAATAAGCGAATAACATGTACAATTGACTTAAACATTACGTTTTTGTACTTTAAGTTTACTTCATTGCTGTAAGTTATATACCGGTAAAGATTTAGATTTTAGATTTACTGCAAATGAGTTTATGTATTTATACCAATTAATATCAATATTGAAAATGTTTCTTTATTTTACTCAATAATTTTTTTGTTTGTATTACACATTTGGAGGAATAAAACAAAATTACTATAAAAAAATAAATTTAAAAAAAAAGTGTGTGTATAATTGGGTTGTTACAGAAAATAGGATAGACCATTTCCGTATAATATGTAATCAAATTTTTAATGAACAAATCTCGTAACCAATTATTTCATTCAAATAATTATATTTCAAAAGTCAGAATGTGAATTGCAACATTATGTGTTGTCATTTAGGTATAATGTTTGTCCTACCTAGCAACAACTAAGTATGCAACGTGCATTCTGACAATTTAAATACAATTATTCATCCCTGGTAATAGCTATAGTGGGGCACAGTGCTACCCACTTTTTCAAGTACCCCCAAAGTGCCCATTTTACTTTAAAAAGTGCCCCATTACTTTTCACCTATGATGAGTGCCCCTTTTATTTTGAAAACGTGCACCTTTTCCTGCGACAAGTTCCCATTTTCCTTTGCAATAACTAAGTGTCCATTTTCCATTCTCATAAGTGCCCTTTTTAATCTCTAGTAAGTGCCCCTTTTCAGGTACGAGAAGTGCCCCTTTTTTACTTTTGATAAGTGCCCCTTCACCTCTGATAATAACCCTATTTAAATTTGAGAGGTGCATCTTTTACTTTGACAAGTGCCCTTTCCCCTTTTAATAACTACCCATTTTTAACTCCGATAAGCGCACCTTTTATATTGACATGTGCCCCTTTTCTTTACCGTAAATGCCCCCAATAAAAAGAGCTCTTTCCCCTTCTCATAAATGCCCCTTTTCAACTATGAAAAGTGTCCCTTTTCATTTCATTAAGTGCCCCTTCCCCTTTCCATCTCTGATAAGTGCCTCGTTTATTCTAACATGCGCCCCTTTTAATAAGAGCCACTTCCCCCTTCTCATAATAGCCCCCTCAAATCTGATCGTTGTTCCTTTTCTTTCAGCAAATGCACATTTTCCTTTATTATAAGTGCCTCATTTTCATTATCAAAAGTACCCGCTGAAGCCTTGAATTTGACAACCACTATTTTATATGTGTGTAATTACTACTGTATTATTGTATTTTTTTCGCCCCTTTTTTGTGTGTAAATTTTTAGGATCATCTACCTATAAGTTTCTGTAACTTTTTTGATGATCCAACCACTTTGTAATTTCCTTTTGTCTTTAGTGTATTTTCCATTTATGGGGCTTATCAAAAAGAGAGCCCCTTTTAAGGTGCGATAAGTGCCCCTTTTCATCTCTGATCATTTCCCTTTTAATATTGATACGTGCCCCTTTTTTCTTTCTAATAAGGAACCTATCCTCTTTTCACCTTTTATATATGCCCCTATCAAAATCTGAAGGGTGCAGCATTTCCATCGACAAATGCCCATTTACCATTCTAATAAGTGCCTTGTTTCATCCCTGGTGATTGCCTGATTTCAGGTATAAAAAGTGCCCCACTTTCACCTCTGATAATTACCCTCTGACAAGAAGCCCCTCTAATGTGTTGGGAGGACAAAATGCAATATTTGCTTGTACATTTTGAAGGATATCATACGAGGGAGCGTAGCGACCGAGCGAGAAGGATTTTGCATTTGTATTAGTCTAAACGCTGCACCCTGGCCCCCCACTCAGTGTTATTTAGGGTACGCATATGCTTGTTCCCTCTTTTTGAAAGCACCCCCTATCTGAGGACTGCCAACATTTCTAAACCCCCCTTTCGCGGGCTTTTCGCGGGCTTTTCCTGCCTTGGAGAACCCCCTTAATCATGAAAAATGCTCAATGTACCCCCTAAAATCGGAATAATTTCGCATGAATCCAAAGAGATGAGAGAGAAAAAAAAACGAAAAACACCCCCTTTTTAAAGAAATCTCTGGGTGAAAAGTTAATAAACCCCTTTTTTTACATTTCTCGGGCCGGACTTTGTCGCACGAAAAGTACCCCTTTACCGGACATTTTGGTAACACGCCCGTCCGTTCTCGGAGTGGGGGGCCGGGGGGGGGGGGGGGATGGGGGCGGGCGGGGCTGCACTCTTGAATGGGCTCTTCAGAGCCTAAAAGTGTGTTGCACTCTTTAGTCAGTATTTGCTATTCCTTTTTGTTGTTGCACTTTTTCAAATTTTCCAGGAGGGGGGCCAATCCCCCCTTTAAAAAAAATCGAGGAGGGGGCGTGTCCCCCCCCCCCCGGATCGCCGCCCCTGCTCCTGCTTTTTGTTATGTGTGTCAACCCCCTCCGAGCTCCCCCTATGCTGGACAAATTGGGCGGTGCACTGACCATATAGAGATATATTATATATTATATATGCATAAAATCTTGGCACTGACCTAGTACTATATTCTCGATATAATTTTTCTATGCGCGTGTTGATATTATTATGTGCATATTGATACTATATGCGTGACCAAAGTGCGTAAGTCGAATTTCAGTGCATTCGTTGTATGAGTCAGCTGAGAAGCGTCTGTCCCTTCTGCGCTATACAAATCGTACAATACAGCTACACCAACAAAAATACACGGAAGTATATAGCGCATACAGTACACGCATCGTATGTTATGCTTGACTCGTTTACGTGACGTGTGTATGTACTGTGCATGTGTACGTACGTATCTTGTTCTAAATTGAGCACAACTTGACGTAGAATTCGGAGAAATCTGCGTTTATTGGTGAGTCCATTTAATTTTAAAAGATGTTGTTCTTTGGAATGAAATATGTGAGTGTTTAAAAACTATAAAGCAATTCATATTATATTGAAGATTGCGAATATAACCTCCCGAGTCACAAGTGATCAAGTGACTACACAATGCACAGAACTCGATGGCGATGCCCCATCGGAGCACCGGGTGTGATCAGGGGGATCGGTCTGTGATAACTCGGGCCGGGGCCCGCGGAAGGAACTGGGCCGTGGGATCAGCTCCACGATCATGACATGATGACTAGAGATAGAGTATGGTCTCTGGTGAGTGGCATACCCCGGTGGGCGGCCAGAGGTATAAAACAAAGAAAAAAGTATATGCAAATCATTTATAACTATATGCGATTGAAACCTGCCCTGGAATCCCAGGTAAGTTCTGAACTTCTGCTTTGTCGAGTATCCGTCAAAAGCTGTCGGAAATCTATGACACCAGTCGCCGATGGGAATTCCAGCTGGTGCTAACTTAGACCAAATTTTCTGTCTCTTTCGTTCGTTAGCCTCTGATTTGGGTAGGGTCGGCTCCTCTCTTTAGAGGCAGAAAAGGTCCGTACGCGCTATGGTTAGGGTGTCTGATTGCGCACCCGATGTTGTGTGCTAAAATTCTTCCCATAGAGATTGCACGCATCTCTATGCAGTCTACGTGCATTGCGCGACCATGTAAAAAAAGTCAATTTTTTTTTTCAATTCGAGATTCAAACCTTTATCTGTTGTGATCCTGAAGGTGATACTCAATAAATGAGGTGTCATATGAAAGAGCAGGCGAATTCCAATTTTTCCAAAGGGGGGTCATCTCGAAATTCTAAAAATATCTTGGTCAAAACAGCGATTTTAACATTGTGTCCTGGCTAACTCCGAGGTTTGTCACTTTTGAGATATGACGCCCCGATCGATAAGTAGTCCCAGCTAGTCCTAAGGAGTATATCTATGTGCTTATTTTTTCGCTAGCCCCCAGGGATCACAAGGGATTACAGTTTAAAAATACCCTTCCCCCCCATTTGTTGGATCAGCTAATTAGGGAGGCGTGCGCTCCGCTCAGCCCAAACCATTGTTACATCGCGTAACATCTCCGCGTACGAACGAAACCTGAATGAGAGTATGGCTAGCACGTGCACGTGCACGTTGTCTCCGCGATATTGCCATTGACTATAACGTGTATTCACTTCCGGGTATTTTTGCTCGAACAGCTAGCCATACTAGTCAATGGCACATATCGCAGAGAAAGCGTGGCTCAAGCTGCAAGTCGCGCATTCAGCTTAGCAACATGCGTACGATAGGCATACGCTTGCATATCGCGCGATACAGCTGTTTGGCTAAATTTTAGCAAAACAACATAACTCTGCGTGTACGTCTTTTTTGTCAATTCTGACCAAATCGATATGAATATTGCAGCGTTTTGGAGGGGCTGTATCTTTTGATAGAAACATCGGTTAGACTTGAAATTTGAAATGTGTTTTTCTGCTTACTTTTTTTATTCAAATATCATACAAAAATGGTGAAAAACGATCCCAAATTGAAAATTGAAAAAATCGTTCAAACACCCTACTAAGGTGTAGGTTAGGTGGGTAAATCAATGCACCAAACTTGGCAAAACTACTGGCCAAATTCCATACCTCACAGGATGCATATCCGGTGCATGTTTTTTTGAAAATTAGGTATAGAATCTAGGCTTAACTACTTCGGTTCTACTTACCAACTTGACTAAAATAATCCGTTTAATGGTCCATTTTTAGGAAATTATGGGTCAAAATCGACATCCATGTTGAAAATCTTGCAGCCGTATTTTAAACTCTCACTGTGCATGACGTCATCTAAATCTCATTCCTTCTAGTCCCTGCCGAAGGCAAAATGATTATGAAGGAAAAACTGTGCACGAGCTACAAGTTCGTAATGACGTTATCACAGTTTTTTCTTCATAATCATTTTGCCTTCAGCTTTGGCTAGCGGCTTTGGCTTTGCTTCTGAATTTGGAAGTGAAGCTGGAGCACATCTATTACTTCATGGAGCACCCTTCTACATGAAGGATGTCTCTTCCAAGGAAATAAAACAAATTTTTACTCTTCTCCTACATTTCCGGCAGGGTGGAGGGCGGGTGGAAGGCATCTATCCCCGCCCCCCCCCACTCCGGGAATGGAGGGACCGGACTTAGAGGGGTGTTTTCAAAAGGAGGGAACATGCATACTAGGGCTGTGACGAGTAGTCGAATGCTCGAGTACCCGCACTGTTGACAACTACTTGAGTACGATTTCTCGTACTCGAATATTCGGCTGCAAAAAAAAAAAAAAAAAAAAAAAAAAATTCCCGGTCACCTGGCACTGTCCAGGCTGACGCTTACCCGTGCCAGGGAGAGCGCCTGCCGCTGGCATGGTACTGTTGGTAAACATGTTTCCTAGCTCAGTCATGGTCAAACTCACCACTCAGAAACTGGGACCAAATGTCCGGATTTCTGTTTGGACTCGGAGGAAAATGGATTATTCTGCCATCTTTGGTTTTTAACAGTATTGTTTACTGTTATTATTATTATTAAATCGGCGCCTTCAACTGCAACTCGAAGTAAAATTGCATGAGTTTTCAGAGACGGACCTGGGATACTGCTCCCGTGGTATGGTGGTGGCCAAAAAAACTAACAACAAAAAACAAAAAAAAAAAAACAAAAAACAAAAAAACAAAACATGGCGTCCGAATATTCAAGTATTCGCTGGGAAGCCTTGGAGTGTACTCAGGTACCTCATTACACGGTTGTGCACAGCCTTAATGCATACGCGTACCCTAAATAACACTGGGGGGGGGGGCGGGCATCTATCACATCAGGGAATGCTTCTACAATATCATGTTACTTGTTAAAATGATTCCCGGTAATGTTTTTATGTATTGTCTTATGTATTATGTAATTATATCACACTGATCGACATTATGTATGTTTAAAATATGTATATAGAAATCAATTGATAAATCAATATGATATCTATCAAGGATTAAAAACACCCATTTTGTTTTCCTTTTCTAAATGTAGGATAAGATGGTGAAGACCGTTAAGCGTCGCTTATCGAACCCGCAGGTGATCCTTCAGTTATGGGAGGCCATCACGTGCATCCGGCAGGGCAAGCAGGTGGCCAACCTTGATCGCATCTACCGCTTCATGGAGCGCTCCTACGAGATCTCCACCAAGGAGGTCCAGAAGCAGATGGCCTTCGCTGTGAAGGAGGGCCTCTTGGTGAAGGAGCTGTCCAAGGCCAAGCAAGGACACAGGCAGGGAGAGACACAAGATGCCTTCTGGTGTGCTGAAGAGAGAACTGAAGAGGTAAAGTCATTGGCACTCATTTATAAGTGACAGATGCTGTTTTTTACTTGCACATTAGTTTTGAGTTTTTCATTCATTCATTATAGAATCTATCCGCTCTTGTTGAGGCTGTTTATGCATCTATCCTACAAAGTCGACATGCATCATTTGTATACTGTTGATAACATCATAGAGACTCTTTTCCCCACCTAATAACTGTTCCTCCTAGATTTCTTCTGTTTTACTTATTCTTTCTCTGTCTCCTTTTTTTCCTTAGTCTGAGGAGCCCCATGATTGGTATTGCTTTGAGTGCCACGCAGGAGGGGATGTATTGTGCTGTGGGACATGCTACAGAGTCTATCACGCAGACTGTGTGAAGGTCGATGACCCCGAGAAGATACTCAGTCTTTGGATCTGTCCCATTTGCGAGGTAAGCCTCAGGCTTGTTTTAATACCACACATGATCTATTCTACACTGCTGATGGTTTAGCAACAGTTGCTCTGTAAACAATCGTACATGAACCAAATTCCTGAATTCAAGTCTGGTTCTAAAATGATACTCTAAAAATCATTGTTGTGGAGATGCTACAGAGCATGAAACCCGGGTTTGAATATTCGATTTCGGTTATTTCAACAATTAATTTCAGGTATTTCAAAATTTAATTTCACATTGATATTTTGCAATAAAGAACTTAAAATATACAATCACAAACTTAAATTTCAATAAAATTAAATATATATGCTTTAGAAATAAATGGAAATTGTTTCAGATGACGGTAGGTCTTTTTATTGCTCTTAAGTTGAGGCTGCAAGGAAGGAGTCACCTGCGGTACCGAGAATGTTCAGAAAAGGAAGTTAAAAAATACTCACTGAAGACTGAGTAAGTTACGGTTGTACCACACACAAGACCAAAATGCTGATCAGACTATTAGAATTAAAATGTGATAGGCATTAATTGTCTAAAGATCCACAAAACAATGGCTTACCCTTGATATTATGATGAAGAAAAATATATTAAAGCTCTTGAAACAACATCGAAGTGCCTTTCGATCATTCTAAAAATTCCTGTATTACGGCAAGATTAAATTGGGAGTCAAGTTTTGAATGCTTGATGTGTTTGGATACAGCCCACACGTCATACATGCAGACAAAAGTCCAAATTGAAAAAGAAAAGATAATTAGTCTGTCTTGCTCAGAAGTCGCAGGATTGTCATACATTCATTACTTCATTGTGTAGAAAGATTCACACTCTTTTTTATTTATATTTTTTTTTATTGTTGTATCTAAGTTGAGGGCTGCGGGCACGTCAAGCTACTCTGCTTATTTCTGTAGCCCTCCTGCATCTAATGTATGTTAATTATGCATTCAATATATTTGTTTAATTTCGTTTATTATCTGTATAAAATTATATACACTTAAAATATTGTATCAAACCATATTATGTTCATGAAAATGTATGATAAAAAAAAGAAAAAGATGCAGAAACCAATAAATCAAGCCCTGTTTCATAAAACTTTTTATCAATAACATAATACTAACTGTCTACGACAAATTTGTTCTCAGCCAATCGTAAGCCACGATTTCAGTAGCTTATAACAATTATTGTAACTTGTCATTGATATCAAGTTTTATGAAACAGGCTTTGATAAATCATTGTTTCCAATCTACAGAGCTGCAAGAAGAAGACAGTCCAGATGAGCAAATGGGATCTCAACAAAATCTTACTCCATGTTCTCAACAGAATGAAAGAAAAGGTTAGCAAGAGATCCACTCTCACCCCCCCCCCCTCATTCAGAATCAAAGCTGTTAATAGCCTCTATGACTGCCTTAGTAAAACTTTGTGTATAAATGAATAGAAAAGGTAGTATGTTGATGCATGAAAAATATGTATACATATGTATATATACTCATTAATATGTTATCCCCAAGGGCCTGAAAATATCCTGAAAGTATTTTACTTATGAGAGACAGATTTTTCTATTGTCATAAAAAGTAAAAAGTTTGAATTTGTATTCGCCATTGCTCAAAGACTGAGTATACATGTAGCTTATGTTTGAGACATCTCTTGCAACTCAAATTTGTTTTGACAATACTTTCACTAAGAACACCCTATACTGTAGTAATGTCAAGTTGTTTACAGAATACCACTCCTGGGGGGGGGGGGGTGTTTCACAGAGACTAAGATCAACTTTAAGTTGGACTTAACTATGGCAGGCTGGTCATGCCACTAGTTCCTCTAACCATTCCTGGCATTGGTTTCTCAAGGGACATATAGATTGTGGTCACAAATCTACAGAATTTATATTTTTTTATAGTTCATTATTGAAGGAAAAGATATTATCTAAAGATCATAATTGAGAGACCAATAGTGAGATCCACCAGTGGCATGAACGGCCTACCATCGTTAAGTCCAACTTAAAGTCGATCTTAGTCTTTGTGAAACACTCCCTGGGATGTTAGACGTCTCTCTATTAATTCAATTTTAAGCCAATTTAATGGTTTGACCTTGATAATTTAGTAAATATTACTAAGACATTTACACCTACTCTCATGATTTTCTTTATAAAATATTGTGCAATAACAGACAATAGCCACTTCCGGCATGAACAGATAACTGTTGACAGCTGCCATGCCAACAGAAGAGTCCCATATAGGTAATCAAATTGGTTTGCGGGGGCCAGTTTCTCGAAACCGTCATAAGTCAAAGTTTGTGGACATCCCATAGAAAAGCGTGTTAATTCTATAACGCATGTTCCAATGAGATGTCTGAAAAGTAAAACTTATATGGGCTTTTGAGAAATGGCCCCCTGCTTCTGAAAAGGTGTTCTTCTCACTTTAAAAGCAGTTTCATTTTTGTCTTTCAGTCCAGAGATCTAACAAAGAAGTTGAATCTGAATGAGTTACCCAATTACTACAACCTAGTTTATCAGCACATGGATCTTTCCATCATGATGGAGGTAAGAATTTAAAGGGAGTGGCTTGTCAGTTTCCATATGCAGAAGGTCATAATTTGCTGACACCAGACTTGACGGAAATACCATTCATGGGTGTACAGGTCTGCACACAGCAAACTTGTAGGCCGATCAAGGAATACCCCCTAGTCTCTCGGCGGCGAGTCTGTGGATGATGCAAATGTCAGATAAGGACTTTACCATATGGGGAAAAGACAGAACATTACATAAAGCTTGTTGGTCATAAAACCGAAGCTAATCCTGGTGATTGACAAAACATCTCCTATTGGGTAAACACTGGAACGGTGTCAACATTTTCCATGAGAGCCCATTTTTAACCTTCCTGCAAAAAGAAGTAAATTCATTCCTCCTTTTAACAAATTAATCTGTATAATGAGAACAAGTTTTTTTAAGCTAGACTGCACTACTTGTAGCTACTTGCGCCCTCTATATAGCAAGCAATGCCTAAGTGGTACCCGTTGATCCCCCATGGTCCCTTTTTTAATGTTAATTGAGAGCTGATTTGATGAGATAACCACCTGTCAGTGACCACGCAGGGAGGTCTAACCCCTCCTGGCCAAACTAGTGCAGATAGGCTTTAAATTTCCAAAAATGTCATTTTAAGCAAAAAGTCAGCAAAACAAGTGAGTTTGTTCATTGCTCACATTAATACAAATAATTCTTCATTGACATATTTAGTCTAAAGTAACGACCAATATCTAATCATATGAAGAAAGTAAAATTTTCTCTAAAACTTTTAATGCAGTATTAAATGGTAGACAGTTGAATCTGACTTACTTTACCCCATCTTTGTACATCAAAATAATATTTGTCGGTGCTTTGCATCATTGATTCCTTAATCAATTATGTATTTTCAAATGTCAATATTTTTGTTCCGTATACACCCGCAGTCATATATATGCTGTTCTAAAGTTCAGTTGTGTCTGCTAAAAATATCCAAACAAACCAAAGCAAATAGAGATACAAACGGACAAAAGCAGCAACAAAAAACAGGGGGCTCAACATAATCACCAGTTTATTACTTACACGAAAATAGTCATGTGCTACAAAGAGTAAACTATGCTTATACATTTTTGTTCCTTTTAGAAACTGTCGGAGAAAAAGTATCGCTCACTAGAAGACTTTGAAGGTGATGCTAATGCCCTCGTTCACATTTCCCATATTTACCATGGCCGTGTCAGTGAGAGAGCTGCTCTGTGTGTACAGACCCTCAAAGACTGCCTCTATGATGTGAGTTCATATTGGAAGATTTTTCTATGTAGTCGTATTGATCAGGGTCATGTGAGAGGTCAAAGGTCACAGAAATGTCGGGTAGTTCTGGTTGATAACATAAAGTAATTTCTCACACAATCAAATGAAAAGTACGCTTGAGGTTAAAAAAATGATATCTGCCAAATTAAATTGATATTTATATTTCTTATCAACTAAATTTTGTTCTACATAATACTGAATTTACTTTGTTTATATTATATTTGACTGTATTATATTATGTCTGTTTATATTTTGTTTGTTTTGAAACGGAAATAAAATCTGAATCTGAATCTGATAGAACATGTAAGAAGCTTAATAATTAGCAAAGAAGTATGTATTAGGCTTGTGATCTCCACCAAGAGCATATATATATGTAGCTTGTGGTCTTGACACCCAAATGTAGGATTTGCTGTTCAGTGACCTATATTCATTAAAGTTTGTATTAGTTTCCTTATGGTGAAGTCCGAGATACTACCTTTCTTGTAAATGTAATGAGTTACTCATTACTTTTTGTTTTGATAGTGTTACTTTTAATGTACTTTTGGAAATACTTGCTTGTGTTTTTCAGATCCAATGAATTAATTGATAATTTCAACCAGTTCCTTTACAAATGTAATTCCACAGCAGAACTCCAGATAAGCTTCAATTGGGATACTTTGGTCGAGACCATTTAAGCTTCGCTTATGTTTTGAATAATCCGTTACTATTTCAGTATACATTTCAACCAAAAAAGTCCTAACTTGATCTCTCTATCTTCTTGACCTTTAACCCTAATAGCTATCTGAAATCCGTCTCTGCAAAGACTGCTACATCATGTCCAATGATCGAACACAGAAAGATTGGTTTTGCAAACCATGTGTAAGTATATGTAACTGTCACATGTACTACTCGTATTGTCATATTTGAGATTTGAGTTGGATGTAAATATGGATCAATTATGAATTAATTTGATGTATTGCAGATTAAGGACTAAGGGGCTCTATATGGTATGTTAAGCTAGATCTCAGTAATTAGTGTCAGTATTGTTATGCCGTTAAGGAAAAATGTGTTTTAGTTGTGGGGAGGGGGGGGGGGGGGTTAAGAATGCAGTTGTTTGTTCATCACTATTGATCAAATACAGAATGTTCCATATACATACATGCTAAGTTTCAGAATTTGTGTTACTTCAGGGGGCCAAGATCTGGTGGAGGGGGTGGAATGTGCCTGGGGGGGGGGGGGGTGTTTCACAAAGATTCAAATTCGAACTTAACTCTAAGTTGGACTTAAATATTATGGAGAGCCATTTGTAGCCTAAGAATAAAATATATTCAAAAGCAAAAATTCAAGTATTTTATACTTTTTTTAAATTCCACATCAAGAACATGAACTGTCCTTGATAGTAGAAAATATAAATGATTTGAATCAACATTTTATGCTTTTTAAAATAACTTTTACAAAATATTTGTATAGATGCTAACAGCTTTTCATATTGTCCAACTTAGAGATAAATTCAACTTCAAATTTTTGTGAAACAACCCCCTGGTCTTTTGGGGCTGAGAGAGCACTGGTCACAGTAACATGGCCTTTTGAATGCTCATTCATTTATGAAGTGGTAAACTGCAGCAGATGTTTTTGTCTCGCCTGCGTAGCAAAAAGCGAGACATAGGCGCCGCTTTTCCGGTGACGGCGGCGGCGACGGCGACGGCGACGGCGACGGCGTCAACATCAAAAACTTAACCTAAGGTTAAGTTTTTGAATTTTTGGTATAATTTTTATGCCTCCGTTACGAAGTAGCCGGAGGCATTATGTTTTCTGGTTGTCCGTCCGTCCGTACGTACGTCCGTACGTACGTACGTCCGTCCGTCCGTACGTCCCGTTCTCGTGATCGCGTTATCTGAAGAACCGATTGATGGATTCCTGCCAAACTTTGGTCATGTATGTATCTTGCAGAGCCGATGAACTGATTAGATTTTGGGGTCACGAGGTCAAAGGTCAAAGGTCACAGGGCTCATTATGTATGCAAAAACAGCTCGTGATCGCGTTATCTCAAGAACCGATTAATGGATTCCTGCCAAACTTAGGTCATGTATGTATCTTGCAGAGACGATGAACTGAATAGATTTTGGGGTCACGAGGTCAAAGGTCAAAGGTCACAGGGCTCATTATGTATGCTAAAACAGCTCGTGATCGCGTTATCTCAAGAACCGATTGATGGATTCCTGCCAAACTTAGGTCATGTATGTTACTTGCAGAGCCGATGAACTGATTAAATTTTGGGGTCATGAGGTCAAGGTCAAAGGTCATGCGGCTCATTATGCATGCAAAAATAGCTTGTGATCGCATTATCATTAGAACAGATTGATGGATTCCTCCCAAACTTAGATCATGTATGTATCTTGCAGAGCCAATGAACTGAGTAGATTCTTAGGTCATGAGGTCAAAGGTCAAAGGTCATGGGCTCATTATGTATGCAAAAATAGCTTGTGAACGCATTCACATTAGAACTGACAGATGGATTACTATTTAACTCGGGACATCTTGCAGAGCCAATGAACTGAGTAGATGTTAGGGTCATGTGGTCAAAGATCAAAGGGTCATATATGTATATGAGAAATTGCTTGTAATCACGATATTCTGAGAACCTGTTAATGGATTACAATTGAACTTGAATTTGAACAATTTCTTCTGTTTTGGTTTGTAAAATTGCTCTATGACGGAGGCATCATTTCGACTGCGCGCAGTCGAAGTTCCATCTAGTTAAAGTATAAGTTCTTAGTCAATGAAAATTTGACTACAGGGTAATCAAGTATCCCCAAACATGTGAGTAGAATTTCAGATCACAAAGTCAAGGTCAAAGGTCATTTCAGGTCAACAGACTTGGACTATGTTGTAGCATCATCATCGAAAACTTAACCTAAGGTTAAGTTTTTGAATTTTTGAAATAATTTTGAAAGTATAAGTTCTTAGTCAATGAAACTTGGACTATAGGGTTATCAAGTCTCCCCAATCATGTGAGTAGAATTTCAGGTCACTAAGTTCAGGTCAAAGGCCATTTAAGGTCAACAAACTTAGACTTTGTTGTGGCATCAACATTAAGATTTTCAAAATGCTTCTTCTTCGTTATTTTTCAACCGATTTTGATTCTGATTGTTTCATATGATAGGGCTAGGAGGGGATTTTAAATTTCTACACAGAATCGTGAAATTCATTATCTATGCTAATTTATGCAAATTTATTTGAAATCACAAAAAAGGCTTCTTCTCCTTCATTTCTCGACCGATTTTGATTTGGTTTGCTTTATATCGTAGAGCTAACTTTGGTACACTAAACTTCTACACAGAATTTTGAAATTGTTCTCCATTAATTAATTATGGTAATTTATGCAAATTTATTCCAAAAATAAAAAAAATTGCTTCTTTTCCCTCATTTCTTGACCGATTTTGCCTTATCTGGTAGAGCTAAATTTGGAACAATAAACTTCTACACAGAATTGTGAGATTTTGCTCCATTGATTATTTATGGTACTTTATGCACATGAAATGAAATTATGTCCCTTCCAGGGCATCAAATTTCTATTTTTTGACCAGTTCAAAAGTGTACCACATAAAATTTACGATATTTGTTGTTGTGAGATGTGGATGAGCGCTACGTCATTGACGTTCTGGTTTATCATATTGAATTGCGTTATGCAGGCGAGACCGCCGAGAGCGTTTCCCTTGTTTTTATATGTAAATGAAAGCCAAATGCGCTCAACAAAGGTCCTACGCATATTCACTGAGCTCAGTGTTATAAGAGCTATACAGGAATATGAAGCGTCATATCTGAACCAGACTATAGGGTTAAGCGGGACTGCACTACTTGTAGCTACTTGCGCCCTCTATATAGCAAACAATGCCTAAGAAGTACCCATTAGTCCCCCATGATCCCCTTTTTCTGATGTTTTTGAGAGCCTTTTTGATGAGATTAACCACCTGTCAGTGACCACGCAGGGAGGTCTAATCCCTACGGGCCAAACTAGTGCAGACAGGCTTTAAACAATGAGTATTTTTAAAAAGGCATTTTATACCATTGTCATCTCTATCTCTTGTGTTCATGAAACAGCATCCAGCTCACGAACTTGTCTGGGCCCAGATGACTGGCTTCGGATACTGGCCTGCTAAAGTACTACAGAAAACAGACTCGAGAGCAGATGTTAGATTCTTTGGTTCACGGCATGAAAGGTACGTATTGTCTTCTCTCTTTTCCCTTCACTATCTTTGTCTCCCTCTCATTCTGTCTCTCCTTGTGTGTCTCTCAATGTTTCTCTTTATCTTTCCCTTTCAGGAATCTCCTCACCACATCATCTCTGTTTCTCACCCTTGTCTTTCTCTTTCTTTCTTTCTTTCTTTCTCTATATCTCCTAATTTCTCTCTCTTTCTTTATTTCTGTCTGTTTGTCTTTCTGTCTCTGTATCTCCTTTCTGTCTCTTTATCTCCTTTCTATTTCTATTTGTCATTATTCATCCTGTATCTCTAGTGTCCTCTGTCACCTTTTCTATCTCTCTCTTTTATTTCCTTGTTTCTGATATGATATTTCTCTGTTGCTTTTCCCCTCCATCTCTCCCCCTGTCTCTCTTTTTTTGGTGTCTTTGTCTCTTGTTCTATCTTTACTTTATTTCCATTTATTAGCATGTACTCTCTCTCTCTCTCCCTTGCCCTTTATCTCCATCTCTCTCTCTCTCTCCATCTCCCCATCCCTTGGTGTGTCTCTCTCCATGTTTTTTAACCACGCTTCTCCTTCCTCCTCCCCTCACCTCCCCCTTTCCCTCTCACTCTCTAATTCATGCACCAGGGCTTAAATTAATCCAAGGCCACCAAGGCCATGGCCTTGGATGCCCCTTTGATTGGCCTCAATGCCCCTCTCATTGGCCTTGGGGATTTTGTGTGCCCTTTCCTTTCTTCCTATTTGTGCTTTAATATAGGAATTTGCCCCGCAGAAAAGTGACCTTGCCCTAAAAGTAATGAAATTTAAGGCCTGATGCACATTATACAAACTACTATTCTTCACTTACTAAATATATTCAATTTATCATTTGAAAAACCTTTAGGGCCTGGATTGACCTCATCCATGTGCGCGACATCACCACCGAACGAAAGAAATTGAGACTGAAGCCCTCGATGGGCTGGCGTTCTGCCGTTAAGGAGATGGAGCTCTACAAGGCCACTCTGGCTGAATACCAGGAGAGGGCTGCAAGCAGATCCAAGGACCGGACCTCATCGTCGTCTGGGCGGAAGAGGAAGCTGAAGAAGGATGATGATGATGATGAGGATAGTAGCATGGTGGAGGATGAGGAGGAGGAGGAGGAGGATGCACAGTGTGAAGCGAGGCATGTCATCAGGGCAAGCTCTACAACAGATGCAGGACAGGTATGTTAGGAAAGTGATGATGATGGTGTTGGTGGTATGGATGATGATGGTGGTGGTGGTGGTGGTGGTGTTGGTGATGATGGTGGTGGTGGTGGTGGTGGTGGTGGTGGTGGTGGGGTGGTGGTGGTGGTGGTGGTGGTGGTGGTGGTGGTGGTGGTGGTGGTGGTGGTGGTGGTGGTGGTGGTGGTGGTGGTGGTGGTGGTGGTGGTGGTGGTGGTGGTGGTGGTGGTGGTGGTGGTGGTGGTGGTGGTGGTGGTGGTGGTGGTGGTGGTGGTGGTGGTGGTGGTGGTGGTGGTGGTGGTGGTGGTGGTGGTGGTGGTGGTGGTGGTGGTGGTGGTGGTGGTGGTGGTGGTGGTGGTGGTGGTGGTGGTGGTGGTGGTGGTGGTGGTGGTGGTGGTGGTGGTGGTGGTGGTGGTGGTGGTGGTGGTGGTGGTGGTGGTGGTGGTGGTGGTGGTGGTGGTGGTGGTGGTGGTGGTGGTGGTGGTGGTGGTGGTGGTGGTGGTGGTGGTGGTGGTGGTGGTGGTGGTGGTGGTGGTGGTGGTGGTGGTGGAGATGAATGATGATGGTGATGATGCCGATACGGATAATGATAATGGTGGTGATGATGATGATGATGGTGGCGATGATGATGATGATGATGATGATAGTGGCGGTGATGATGATGGAGGTGGTGATGATGATGGTGGTGATGGTGATGGTAATGGTGATGATGGTGATGGTAACGGTGATGCTGATGGTGAAATATGCTGAAGATGATGATGATAATGACAGTGTTGATGGTGATGATGGTGAGGATTACGATTATGATGCACGTTTATTTCGGGCCATATTTCTGTTTAAAATGTTCCAAAGTGCTGGCTCCTGGTACCAAATCTGTAGTTGAACATCTGATGAAGTATGTTAGTTTAAGAATGATTTGAATTAATTCCAGACTGTCAGAAAGAAGAGAGGGAGTTCCATAAACAAGGATCAGTAGTTGAAAAATGGCTACTTCAAAATCACAATTCCTTGTCGACCATAGGGTCTGAGCTACCCAGGCTTAAGACTAACACATATAAAGGCCCTACAATGTAGTAGTTCCTTCTTGTTTACTAACTCCATGCAGGTTAGTTTACAAACAAATATTGACTGTTTTTCTGGGATTGTTAAAATGAATAGTCCCTTTTGAACTTAAGACTCTGTCTCGGGGGCATAGTTCACTCTTGTGATCACCTAGGGGGGAATATTAAAGGGTACCCAAACTATTAACGATTTTGCTCTCCAGATTTAGGGTTTAGTTAATGAATCTACATTTTGCACTCTCTACACAGGTGTAGTAAATGGATTCTTACCTACAGTGAAGTAGGAAATTATTCCTTTAATGCTTTCAGTACCAGTAGCTGTGCTAAAGCCAGGATAACAATTATACTTTATAGGCACCTTGAGCATCGTCTGGAATGGAAATAATACATGCTCGCATCTCATATTCAAAATATACACTTTGAATACTTCTTTACAGTGATATCGCAAATTTAAGTATGAAAATTTTACTCTAAAATTGTTAACATCTAGGGAGTATACTAGCCTTCACACTTGCTTTATAGATTTTGGCATGCATGGAATTTTATTTCGAGTTGAGTTGCTTGTGGACCTTAATGATTGAATAATGTTTTATCAATTCATGTTCTTTAATTGTGTTCCATTTGAATAACTCTTATAGTTTATTTAGGGATAAGTGTAATTACTAATATCTTTTAAATGAAAAATGGGAATGGGTCCTCTTTAAATCATGCCCTTCAAAACAGTCAATATGTGTTTAATTTTTTTTACCTCCTAGTGTGTTTGTAAGACAAAATTTCTTTGCTTATTTGCCATGTGCTAGAGCCTAGAAGATAGTGGAAATACCATTCTGTGGAGTTGAACAAGTGGTAGTCCTCTATTTAAATTCAGTGTTACGTATTTAGTTGAAGAACAAGGACACCGTGAGACAGAAATAGCTTTAAAAGTGACTTTAAATAGCAATAATAATAATTCAAAGTTTTTGTATAGCGCGAAACACACAGGCATAATTGCATGTCTCTACGGGCTTTACAGAACTGAATACAGAAGAAGTGGAAATGGTGCACTGGTTCATAACCGTGAGAGCTTACAAAGTGCTAAATCAATATGTTTTCTGAACTTGTACTTTTTTGTTAACAAATGCTCTTTTGGGATTTATTATTCATGTTGTAAGAGGGCATTTGTCACTCAGAATTGTGTGCATATTGTATTTTGTTAGAGAATATGGATGTGATGTTTGTGATGTGAATTGCATTATTGTACTTAGTGGAGCAGAGTGGAAAGTGCTTTCTCACTGCATGGAAAAGGCACTCTACCAAAGACATGTGGATTTGATTTTTCATATACATGTATCATTCATTGCTGGTTCATAGCTGTTTCTGAGCTTACCAGAGCTAAATTGCTCTCCACTTCTACCTGTTTTCCTCTTTTCACTGCTAAGAAAAAAGTGCCAGTCATGTACCAACCTTTTCTTCTTTCTTCTTTTTCATGTATTGTATCCTCCTTGAATGGTATTTTGGGTTTATCTTTTTGAGCATTTGATTTTCAAATTGATTTGGTGCCTTACAAATCTTATTCAACCATTATGAAATATTGTACTCATGAGCTTCCATGTATATTAATTTGTTTGATGTGTAATAATTTGATTGTAGACATTGTTGTTCATAGCATTTATCATTTATGTATCAGACTCTGAAGTTTATTTGACTTTGAGTACATTATTTCTACCATTGTTATCTATCTGTTGTATTTTATTTTTATTTGAAATGCAGCCTCAAGTTTTGGTTGCAATAAAGAAATAACAATAATAATCATATACAGTAGGCTTACGGTTGCGCCATGTGAGAGATGGGGGGGGGGGTGGAGGATTGGGAGTCCTGAAAAGGTCTGTTGGTAATCTTTCTTTCTAGAGTGTGTGTGTAGTCCTCAAAATGACTGTTCGTAATCTTTATTTGAGCTTTCACTCTTGACAATGGATAGTCAACCTGTTCGGAACGTTGAGCCCTCCTACTACCCATCCTCTCCAGCCGACGCTTTAGTTCTCTTTAGAACTATAAGCTCACAGAAAGATTAATAACAGTCCTTTTCAGGACTCCCCAATCTTCTCCCTCTCTCACATAGTGCAACTGTAAGCCTACTGTATATCTACATAACCATTATATTTGTTTACCACTCCCTTGTATCTTTTTTCTTTGTAATGGAACAGGACCACAGTGTTAGCACCAGCCAGACCTCACCCCCGGTTCTGGATGGACCTGTGAGCAAGAAACCCAAAGTGGAGGAGGGTTCATCGTCGTCAGTAGCAGGAGCAAAGTCAGCAACGAAGTCAGCAACGAAGTCAGCAACGAAAGTAAGTCTTGCCTTTGACCTGAATGCTGTGGATGTTTTTAATGCAAAGGGGAAAGGGGGAGGGGGGGTGGAAGAGAGTGAAGAAAGGATATGGAGGGGGGGGGGGGTAAAGAAGACATTTGTGAAAATAAGACTTGAATGTACATGTAGCATGGAAACAAGAAGAGAGAGGGGAAGGGGGAGATAGAGAGAGAAAGAGTAAAAGAGAGAGACACATCGAGGCAGACAGACAGACAGGGACAGAGAGACAGAGGGAGAAAGAGAGAGAGAAAGAGAGAGAGAGAGAGAAGGAATTAGGGGATTAGGGAAAGGGAGGAAACTGAAAATTAGTTCTGAGGATTAGAGAAAAAGAGCATTAGGATGAACCGATCAGACTAAAATCAATAATGACAAAGAAAAAATTACAAAAAAATCATCACTAATCAAGAATTTTAACCAACTATCTTTCTCCCCCATCAGCCCAAATTGGAACCAAAAACGAAACCAAAAATGAAACCAGAAACAGAACCGGACCCCGAACCGATGGATGCAGTCCCGGAGCTCGAAAATGCTGAAAAAAAAGAGGAAGACGACAATGATGACGATGATCCTGTAGATGACGATCCTTTAGATGATGACCCCATAGATGATGATCACGGAGATGACGATCCCATAGATGACGATCCCATAGATGACGAACCCTCAGATGACACCCTGGACGACACTCCACCACCACCTCTCGAGGAGGAAGGTACCAGTGAGAATACGACGCCCAGTCTAAGATCAGCCCCCAGCAGACTCGAAGATAACTCCAAGACCATGCCAGCTCTCCGAGTAAAGCTAGAGGCTGATTATAAGAAGAAGATGGACAAGGCTGTCAAAGAAGCCCTAGATAAGGTCAGAGTGCATTTATGGTCTTTACAAACTTTGTAACCATCTTTAGTGACCACCTGCATAGAAAGGCCACATGTCCAGAAAGATCACCTGTTTTTAAAGTCCACATGTTTGTTTCCTTTGAATAGTTTTTCTCATTGAAACATGTAGTAAAGAACCTGTACAGGACATTTTGCCTTTAAAGACTGCATTTCTAATCTCCCTTGTTGTGGTCTGTATATACATTTAAAGGTAAAAACCAGTTATGGTCATGCGATTGCGTTGTGAAAGAAACGTTGTGGAATCGATAAGAAAAGGTTGATCATCTAGCATATAAGTATTGGTGTGTACTGCAAGGTTCTGGAATCATCAAAATGATAAGAAATATGGCCCAGTCTTCATAAAGTTACAAGCACTGTACATAGAAAGGTGTATATGGGACTATATGCATTTATCTCTCACAGACCATGTAGATAAACTAATTTTCCAAATATATCAATTAGTAGGCGGTTTCCCGGCAAAATTTGTATCATCATGTATTAGTCAAAACATATTCTTTCACATGATTGGTAATAAGAGCTTCCATTTCATTTTTTGAAATTGGGGCATTTCCAATACTGGTCTTTAGCTTTAAATGGTTCAACTTTATCAATCTCATTGAAACATGATTATTGTACTGATAGGAACCTGTACATCAAGACTGCATTTCTTATCTCCATTGTGTGGTCTGTATATACATGTACATGTTTCACTTTATTACTCTTATTGATACATGTACCTTAAAGGAAACGGTACATATTGCCTCCCTTGAGTATTCTTTATATTCCTGGGGGTGTTTCATAAAGCTGTGTGTAAAGTTACAAATGACTTGACAAACGATTTGAATATGAAGAGCCAAATGGGATGCCCAAAGTTTTTCCTGACATTTTAGCAAAGTGTGACTGTAATCTGTATTTCCCATCATCTCAATTAAATTGTTGCCAAAAATACACTTTGCATTAAAATGTTTTGTTAAAGGTAAAGACCAGTATTGGAAACGCCCCAATTTCAAAAAATGAAATGGAAGCTCTTATTACCAATCATGTGAAAGAATATGTTTTGACTAATACATGATGATAACAACTTTGCCGGGAAACCGCCTACTAATTCATATATTTGGTAAATTTGTTTCTCTCATGGTCTGTGAGAGATATAGGGTAGTCCCATATACATCTTTCTGTGTATAGTGCTTGTAACTTTACGAAGAATGGGCCAAATTTCTTATCATTTTGATGATTCCAGAACCTTGCAGATGCTAGATGCTAGATGATCAACCTTTTCTGATCGATTCCACAACGTTTCTTTCACAATGCAATCGCATGACCATAACTGGTCTTTACCTTTAATAATGATAAGGTGAATGTACATCTGCATATATATTTCAACTTAAGCTTATGCATTTAAAAGGATTTGAGAATCCCATTTAGCTCTTCATATTCAAGTTATTTGTAAATTTATGCGTAACTTTACGCACAGCTTTATGAAAGACCCCCCTGGCTTCATAGTATAGGATAGGGTAACTGATAGAGTTTTGTATTGAAAGGCGATTCTCTGTTATGAATCCCATACAACATATATGGACTGTTCAGAGCCAGAGGAGATTAAATGTACTTTAACACAGAATCCACTACATTGTGACTTTTGACTCATGACCTTTGACATATGACCTTTACCTTGAATGTTTCATTATCCTAGGCCAAGCAAGAATGGCATGCAGAGAAGGAGAAACTCCTGAAAGAGGCGAAGGACAAACTTGCCGCTGACGTTCAGAGAGCGAAGACGGAGACGGAACACAAATGCAAGAAGGAGCTCAATGAGCAGTTCCAAAAGCTTACAGATGAGATATCTCAGACTAAGAAGAAACAGTGGGTGAGTACTAGTATGAAAGCATAGTATTGACTTTTAAACCGCAATTGAAAGTAAAGATGGTAATCATTAAGATCCAGAAACTCTTTTAATAATATCACAAACCAAGAAGAAAAAAACAAAAGGTGGATAAGTAGCACAGACTTCCATTTGACCCCTATTCTCACTGTATGAAATCTCCAACTGCCACAGATCACATGTCTTTTGGTGATTTCTTCTGTCAAGTCTTTTAGATCTATTTGTTAAATCTGGGTGGGGGGGGGGGGGGGTAATTAGACCCCCTATGAAAAGGTGCTCTCGAAAGCCCAGTTGGGCTAGGGTTAAACAGATATTGAAAGAGCAAGATGATTGGATATCAAGGTAAAGTTGGCCTAGTATTAATTTATTAATCTTATTTCTGTGATGAAATAATTTGAATTTAGTCTTTAGGAATTTTCGAGAATAGAAATGTGATTACCTGTTCACTACTAATCATGAATGATTTTCCATTTCCTTGTGCATCAAAATGACAGTATTGTGAGGTCATGTGTACATATCCCTACATGTGGTCGTGCACATGTGAGAATACAGTCGCAATAAAGTCCTGCAATCTTAGTGGCCCAAATTCACAAAGGAGGTTTGTCGACAACCGATGTTAATGTACGTCATATTACGCGTTTTGACGCATTTTTACAAACCTGGTTTGTAAAAACGCTTCGAAACGCGTCATATGACTCACGAAAACCAAGGTTTGTCGACAAACCTCCTTTGTGAATTTGGGCCTGTGGCTTTAATGAGGTTAAGAGACTTGTGTTGAAATGGTTCAATGATCGATTGTTTAACTGAGGTTTTGGTTTCTTTTCCATCTTTCAGTGTATAAACTGTGAGAAGGAGGCCATGTATCACTGCTGTTGGAACACGTCGTACTGCAGCATCAGCTGCCAGCAAGTCCATTGGCATCAGGAGCATAAGAGACTCTGTCGACGCAAGCGATGAAAACGCCCCATCCCCCCACCCTTTCATAGCCCATAGAGACAGATCCTTGTGACACTTGTACGCGAGCTTGGAGCTTGGAAGAGTTCTCTCCCCCTTACAATATCTACGGGAGGGAACTGCACTAACTGGTCACTGGTCAGTCAGAAAAGAAAGTTTCTGTGACTCTGAATAATTTCCCCCACCCTACAATTTATATTGGGAAGGAACACTTGGAGATTCGGTGAAACGACTGACCAGTCGGAAGAAAACTTTGGGTGACTTAAGTATCTGTCTAAACTAGCTATGCCCCCTCCAATGCATCCCTGTCCGATTCGTCAGATGTCTCAACTACAGAGCGGTTGAACCGAGATGGCGACAATAACCTTGGCGCTGATGCAGTTTGGATGTGACCAACCAGACAGGTCATTCCATTTCTGACTTGACATTACTCGAGACATGATTCATTGAAATAGTCATCTTTTCCAAGAGTTTACTTGCTACCCCTTTGTAAAAATCTTCGTATCTCCTTTGTCCCTCTTTCCACCCCTCCCCCCCCCCCCCATTGTATCTCCTCCCGCTCCGTTGTATACGTTTGTCTCTTTGTTTGTTTGCGCCTGTATTTTTTTCATCTATCCTCTCCATATGATTTTGTCAGCATAGTGAATGTGTAAATTTTTGAGACTTTTTTTCAAGGTGTAAACTATAAATGACTTGGGCCAAAGCATTCATGAATTCTTAGAAGTACATGGATGTCATATATGCAGTGTTTGATATATATCTAATTGTGGAGCCTGTTGAAAGGATAGACAAGTAAATTATATTTCAAAAAGACACATGGTGAAGTTGTGCTCTACAGCGAAATGTTCCTCTTATCGGTGATGGGGAGATCAATGATGCATTGCTAGTTTTGGGATTATAGTTAGTAGGTTAACAAATCTACAGAGCAGGATTATTGGAAGCTCTAATTCTCACTACCGGTATACAGCGATATGTTTCATTTCAAATAATTTTATGAACATACTATTACTAGGTTGTAGAAACTGAAAGGAAGCTTCATGTAGTGAAGGTATTTGAAAATGGCCATTTAGTACATGTAATTTCATTTCTTCCTGTGATTACACCAAGCATAGATTTTGGAAACATTGCGAAATTGAAAAAATAATATATTGGAAAACATTGAGCGAGAATGATTATTATCAGGCAAGAATGATTATTGTTTAGGTGACCCTAGAAAGTTGTAGGTATGTTTGCAAACAGACATAAAGACTGGGTAATACTTGTCATCATTAAAAAAAATCCATGTTGGGGAGAAATGGTACTCACAGTATTAATGTACTTAATGAATTATCTCATTTTTAAAGCTGATTATAGGATCCTGTTTGGTGTTGTGAAACTTAATGTCATGTAGGCATCATGGTACCAGCAACTACTAGATAATAATATTTTATTTTCATCATATTGCAATTTTCTATAGCATTTTCCTAGGCTTACATATGACTTTACATGTGTAAAATATTGCCTCCTATAAGAATGCGTGTTGAAGACGACTATTTTCTTACAGTGTGTGAGCGAAAAAGAGAGAAAGAAATCTACAAAATTATGTGAAACAACGACTTTTATATCCAGATCGATTTAAATTATAGAGCAGTTAAAGAAGATAGAGAGAAATATAAAGTGTAAATATTATATATCTGTTATAGAAATCTCCATAGGATGATGATATGTAGAAGTACTTGTGAATACTCATGAATAAAGTGTTGGTGTTGTCAACCTTTTAGAGGTTCCCTTTGTATATTGCACAGGTCAACAACATGCTGCATATTCTGTGTTATATTTCAAAAAAACTTGCTTGCTCCAACATAATGATGCATGAACATCGCGCACAAGCCAAGCTACATTGTAGTTACAGTATGGCATGGCTTTTAGTAGTCGCTGATTGACTTTACAAAATGACATCCATTCATATTTTTGTACTTTTTTTATGTAAAAAGCAGTTTTTTTGCTATGGTATTGAAGTATACATTGCTTCTGCTGTTATATCATTTAGTTCAATAACTCTGTGTGCCAGGACTGTGATACCCAGATTGCCAAATATATTAGTGTATGGTTTTCCAAGGACACTAAACATGTACTGGTTGCAAACATCAACTCAAGCACTTCATTGTATGTTCTGGAAGTTGACCAAAGCTGAAAAAGAGAGTTAAAATAAAATGTTTTCGTACCATGATTTTTTTTGGAAAAGATCTAGAATTCGACTTGCTATTGGAATGATCTTGTTTAAATTAAATTCATTGGATTATTTTAGTACTTAGGATCTTCAGGGCAGCGTTTCACGAAACCACGATAAGTACAAGTTCACCGACATCCCACTGAAATGAGGGTTAAACTTAATACACGCATTTCAATGGGATGTCGGTGAACTTGTACTTATCATGATTTTGTGAGACGCTGCCCATATCTTTAGTCTACTTAATGTTTGCAAGCCTGTAGGATATGGAAGATTGCCAAATATGAGCAAGACATCTCAACAAGAATATATATGCCATACCCCAAGTGAGTTTAAATTGTCTGGAGTAAATTGGGCGACAAAACAAGGTTTGAGTTGTAAGGAACCCCATCCCCATCTAACGTTTTGGCAAGAAAACAATAAATTGTCCCCAGCTGGACTCCTACAATTATTGTAACAGGAACAAATTTGTTACGCAAATAAAGTTTGTTATAAAATTCGAATCGCTATGACAGTACATGTATGTTTATTATTAAAAAGGGGAGGGGGCTTTGCTTTTATACTTGATGTCCATTAATGTGCACTGTGTCATTAGATGATAAATGCATGTACATTACTTTCTTTGTATTACATATCAAATACATGTTTCTCTCCTTGTAATGTCCTTTACCCACTTATGCACATTTTCTAACAAGAAGTTAAGAATTGGCAGTAGTATACAATCCTAAGCCTGGATGTACATGCAAAACACCGCTTCTGTCATTGAAGATGCTTGATTGTATTTTTTTGGTGTAAATTCCTTTTTAATGATTTACTTACAAATGTCAACAGGGTAGCCCGTAATCGTGAACCAGGTGCTGCTCTTAATAGAAAGATTAACAATCAATCGTTCACAAATTCCAAATATATTACACATACAAGGTCTAATGCCAGTTACTTTATGCTATATATATTTGATATTATATTTTTGTGTATGTCCTTGTTATACTCAAGGTACATGCATGATTGTGTTACAAAAATGTATAGCCTGCTTTTTTTTCTACTCCTTTTTTTTCTTCTTCAATTTCCATTCGTTCTTCTTCACATTGTTTGGTGTTACATTCTGGTGCATATTCTTTCTACTTTTTTTTTTGGTAGTTTGAGAGATTTCTTCTTTCTATTTCTCATTATGTAAATATTGCTATGCTTTTGAATATTTTTGCCTATTAATGAGTACCGTAAGAGAAATCAAACGATCCAACAGAACTGAAATAATTGCATGTTTATCAATATTTTCTTCTGCCTTCTTTTGTGTAAATTAATTCAGATTTTGTTTTCTTTTTCTGATGGGTGTAAGACACCAATTTTGTATATGGTTGTTTGTGGTATTTTTTTTTTTTTTTTTGTCTTAAACTGGGGAATACCAAGTAATATTCAGCGATTTTGTTTTTTTTGTTTTTTTTTGTTGAACAATTGGTTTATGTGTTGGTTGTAGTGAATGGGACTATGAGAAGCTCAGCCAACTTGAGTAGTGTAAGAAATGAATATGTGATTCTCATTAGTGGTACAAGTGTAGATGGCATGGAAGTCCACCTTTTGGGACATTTTACAAGTTAATGGGAAGGAACTGTTTTTATGAAAGTCTGATAGTTAAATATTTATGACATTCTGTGCGGATGATACATTATAAATGTACTTGTGGGACCAAATATATTATGCTGCTTAAGAAAAGAAAAAAACATGCGAGAAACACTCAATGTTGCATCTTTATACAAAATACATGATGGATAATTTGTATTACCTTTAAAGTCTGTAAACCATTATGTTCACAACTGAATGACATAGAAGGAAATTAGGATGGAAAATAACCTGAATGCATCTATCCCAATATGTATTGACCAATGTCTGTGTCATATATATATATATACAAAGATGGGACATGCACAGTGCAACTACACATCTCATAATTCTTTTTTTATTTTTATTTGTGTACCAGTAATTATTTTTGCCACAGCAGTTTTCTGCCTCTTGTATGTGTATAAGGGGCTTTCTGGACCTGGACATACATGTACATGTAGTGGTAAATATTTGTGATATGTCCACGCTATTAATTTTTTTACAATTCTGATTATTCAAGGTACTCCTAACATTGCTTACAGCAGCTTCTCTCAATTTTGTAACCATCACAACTCTCAAAAGCAATATATTTTGTTTAATGCATTGCCATTTAATAGAACATTATTTCAATGATTCAATTACTTACAAGACAATTGCTTTGTACATTCAATGCTGCAATGTCTCTATACATGTACATTTTTGAATTCATGTAATAATAATAATAATAATATTTAATTTTTATATAGCGCTTAATACAGAATTCTCATTAAATATGACATCTAGACTACTAGTCATACAATTATTTTCTGCCATTTTTAGTTCTGAAGTTTAAGAGGTGCTGCATCACTGCATTTATAGTGCCATTACACCAGGCTGTATTATGTGGAATGTGTATACTGAAGCGAAATTAACATATACTTGTTGATATGCCATGAGTACATGTAGTTTATCAAAAAGGAATCTGCCACAGACTGCAAATTGCATATCAAATGCTTCATACGTATGTAAGTCAGGCTTGTAAAAAATGTGGCATAATATTAATTTCTGCGTTATTGCATGCTTTATAAAGAAAACTACACATGTATTATTGCAAAGAGGAAGACTAAATAGGAATATATATAACAGGAGGTTAGATTTGGTGTTAGAAGCATAGTTTGGATATTTTATTGACATTTTGTTACATGTATTATTGTACAAATTAAACTATGTGCCTTTTACTATATTTTCAGAAAGATAGTTTGTTATTATGTCTTATCTTTGCGCTCAACATTCCCTAATGATAGCTGTATAGTGATATCTACCATATTGCCAATCAAATTTGTACTTTATTTTGAGCTTTATATTGTATCTTACCTAACATATAAAAGGAACGGTTATATTAAAGATGATGAAGAAGAAGCTAACAGACCGACAAGATCTCTTGAAATATTGAAATAAACTGCATCTTCATGTACTACGTGTTTGCATGTTAATAGTTCTTCAGATCCATTAATAACCTGTTCATGCAAAATTCAGTCCAGGGCATTTTACAGGAAATTTACTCAATTTGGTTTTAATCTGAAATTTACATAATTGTCCATATGTGTACAGTCTAAAGAGCAAAAGGTCTTACAAATTTTTAATGGTACATGGAAGAGAAGAAAAGATTTTATAAATTGTCAAAAGAGTGTTGCTATCAATTTCTGTCCGTGATTGTAGAATCTAAGGCCCGAATTCACAAAGGAGGTTTGTCGACAAACCTAGGTTTATGTGCATCATATGACGTGTTTTTATGCGTTTTTACAAACCTAGGTTTGTAAAAACTCATCAAAACGCGTCATATGACGTACATAAACCTAGGTTTGGCGACAAACCTCCTTTGTGAATTTGGGCCTATATGTTGGGTAAATGGTGTGTATCATTTCAGACTCTGTATAGTTTTGTAGGAATGTAATATAGAAAGATTAAAAAGAAACGTCACAACTTTTCAAAAAACAATAATTTTCTTTGGATGCATTACTTCTTTGTAATCTCAGTTCACCTCTCCTGTTTCTCTCGCCTCTCTTCCCCCTACCTTGTCTTCTCTTTCTCTCATTTCTTCTTTTACACCTCTCTCTCTCTCTGTCTCCCTCCCTCCCCCTCTCTCTCCGTCTCCCTCCCTCTGTCTCCCTCCCTCCCCCTCTCTCTCCGTCTCCCTCCCTCTGTCTCACTCCCTCCCCCTCTCTCTCTGTCTCCCTCCCCCCTCTCTCTCCCTTCTGTTTTTTTTTTCTCTCACTGTTGATTTGTCTTATCTGATTGACCTCTTTTCTCTGTCTCTGCACAGAGCTATCTACACACAGAGTTTGGCTAACTTGGTTTCAATTGACCCGAACATGCCGTATTCACTTTTGTGCCTGCCCTACCTAGCAGTAATGACCAAATTGTACCCAACTCGAACCGGGCTGGCCAAACTCTGTGTATAGATGGCTCTGTCCCTGCATGGTCTACACTGCCCTCTATTTCCCCCTCATCTTCTCACTTTTTTACAAACTGCACCTTCGGAACGAATCTACAGACACAGAACGATGACAAACATCAAACTTCTTAAAAACAAAACTCTTCTTTTGAGAAAAAAAAGGAGTATAATTTATTGATAGATCAATTTCATCCACATATTTGAATGAAACAAAAATAAAATGAATCGTATGGCAAAATGTCAGCTCGATTTTGGGTCCAAATATCAATTTTTAGATTTGTTTTTGTAAGTTGAAAGATTTTTCAGCTCTATAACACATCCACTTGTGATCCGAGCAATTAGTCATGGGGCTACTTACACAATTGTGTGTGACTGATACATGCACACTGTTGTGCACTTTGCAAATGTTGTTACCAACTTGTAGACAAAAGATTTTGCCCTAAGCCAAATGTTGCTGATAATAAATCACTTTATCGTGAAAACTACAGAGCAATTTTGCATAAGATTGACTGTATTGTTCTTCATACCCTTTTTTCACTAGTGCCCCAAGTTTAGAATCGATTGCACGTTTTAAACTAGGTTGATGATTACGATGTTGATATTACTGATTATGATGATGATTTTTATTATCATAAACTAATAAAGGGATGTTTAAAAGAACATGACCATTTTAAGTGATTATCAAGATCAGACCAAGATTTTGATAAGATCTGCCTACTTCGGGTAACAGTCTTTTGATCAACCAATTGCCAAACTATCAAACTAATGGGCTCGCAAGCTCAGACACCAACTGACAATGGGGAAAACTTTGTTCATTCCGAGTTCATCCTTGACAAATGATCAACTCTTAGTACTTAACCACTTTCCTTGGCCTTGCAGATTTCCTTGGGGATCTTTCCATCTGTCCCTCCATTTCCTCTCCCTTTCTCGTCTTCTCTGGTGTTTTCTCCACCCCCTTCACCTCCACACCCACCCCTCCCTCCACCATTTGTTCTTTACTGCCCGATCCCTTCTCCGATTCCTCCTCTTCAGGGTCCTTTCGTGATCGTGTCTTTTTCAAACCAAGTAACACTTTCTTCTGGGGTGATCTGTTTACCGGTTCTGGTCCTTCTTGCCTTACGTCCACTTGAACACCTGTGTTAACCTGTCCAATGTCGCATGTGCTCGCTCCACCATCGCTAACCAAACCATCACCGTGACGATGATCGTCATGGTTACTAGCATCATCCGAGACACTCCTCCAAGCTGTCACGTCTTCTTCTGGCATGACCGACTTCTTCGGTCGCCCCCGTCTCTTCCGCTTTAAAGAAACAGTCTCCTCATCTTCACTCCTAGCCAGTGTCGATGTCTCAGGAGAAAAACACTCATCATCAGATTCAACGAAGGAAATCCTTGCAGTCTGTCCTATGGGAGATTTCCCCTTTTGGGGAGATTTCCCTTTTTGAGGGGATTCCCCCTTCATCGAGCTCAACTCGTCTCCCTCACTCTCAGTCCACCTATCTTTCTGCCCATCAGATTCAGACATGTTCTCCTTCTTCTTCCTCCTCCTCTTCCCATCACTGATTTCAGCCTCGCTCGTAGATGACCCCCTCTTCCTCTTCCGACCTCGCCGTTTGCGTGGTGATGACCCTGTGTCCTCCGTTGCTGATGTTGCGCTTCCATTTTTCTCACTCATATCATCGCCGGATGTTTCTGCTGTAAATAAATCCAACTCGGATTTCTTTGATTTCTTTTTCTTCTGCTTTTTCTTCTTCCCCTTATCTTGTTTCTTCTCTGAGCTCTTCTTTCCTGTGAAAAAAAAATCAACAATTAATATATAGATGCTGAATGTGAAATCCTGACACATACAAGCAACCCCAGTATTATTCCAAGAAAAGACTACAAACCAGCAACCTTAATACCAACTTAGCTTGAAGATTAGAGGCTCTGAATAGACTTTAGATAATATGTAAAAAGCAATATATTTCAATTCATATCCGAGTGTTGTGCATGAAGAAAAATTGGCCTATTTCTTCAAATTTAAGTGAAAAACTCCAAAAGCATAGCTTAAATTGTTGGAATTCATAATAGATGTATGACATTATATAATCAAATATTCATTTAACTTTTAAAGAGCACAATGGTAATTTATACAATAAACAGAGCATATTGATGATTGACTTTAAAGGGATTGCGTATCTTTGTCTCAGATTCTAAACAAATTCCTAGATTTAGCTCAAGCTGCAATCATAATTATAAACCTTTAGGTCAGTCAGGAATCCCATGACTTTAGCGAGTCAATCGCCTGTCTGATTATCAAGATATTTATGATTGGAACCGTTTTCCCAACAGTTTTTATAACACAACAGTCTGTTAGGTAAAATGAGTATGGTAAAATCGGTCTCTCAAAGATTTTTTTACTTTTTTGAAGCATTTCATGGTCATCTTGAAGCGCAATTTATTTAGGGCTTCAATATTACACCATATCACAGACACTATTAACACGTAGGGCCGAACATCTCAGATTTGTAAAACTGGAAACGTTGACATTGTTAAACAATGCCTTGAAGAGACAGGAACAAGAATGACCTCCTATGAATATTATCCTCACCTTTAACCCCTTTCTTAGCAGCTGATTTTTTTGCTCCTTTCTTCTTCTTCCTGCCTTGCTCAACATCAGAGTCTGCACAGAAAGATTAGAATGAGTATACAACAATGTGGAATGTAAATAGATAACTGTACAAAATTGCCTAAAGGAAAAATACCTTGAGATACTAATACAAACTTCAAAAAAACATGTAACAACTTAGTCTCAAAGATTACGGGATGCAAGTGTGCATGGGTGATGGAAACTGTATGGAATTCCTTACAAAATATACTTCCAGCTATGATGAAAATGATAATTTTAGAGTTAATCTTACCATGGGACATGTATTACTCTTTGGACATAAGCATCAATACTGCCCAACAAGAGCGATGACTTATCAATTCTTTGACAGTCATTGATTCGTTCAAATGAATGTGGTCACTTGCCGGTTACGAATGGCAGGCTTCGATATTTACTCAATCTAGCAAACAATTTTTCTGAGGTCATATTTATTACAATTTTTGAAAGTTTTATCCACCAGCATGTTGTTGAATACTATTTTCAATTATGTAGGGACCTGTTGGTTACGAGCAGATGATCATGGCAGGCTGTGAAATTCTACGAAACTAGAAGCTATCTAGACAGTACTTCAACAGAAAGCTGGATAGAGACACTCTGTCACATCAAGCTACGAGAAAGTTTATCATCATCTCACAGAATTCTGCTCGAATACCGCATCAAAATCAGGTAGGCCCTACAGCCCTTATGTTATGCCTGTTGCACATGAGACGTCTTTCTGATTGCGTCAGTTTGTTGTATTGATAATGATATCAATTATTTAGGAGCGCTAAAACAAAAAATACCTTTTCGCTTACCAACGAGATAAGAAATTGTCACTAAGGACGAATGAGGTGGTCTGGACGTGTTTTTTTTAAAGGATCTCATATGGAGAGATGAGGAGAGAGAGAGAGAGAGAGATGTATGGCAGCAGATAGATATTAAGAAGAGAGGGAGACGAGGTATAGTCATGTAAAAAATACATGAGCTGGACAGAGGGATAAAAGAGGAATCGGAATGCATGCACTTGGAAAGAGAGAGGATAGTATAAGGAAACATGGTAGGGGTGAAATAAGACTACAAAGGGCAAAGGAAAGAGCTAGAGAAAATTAAGGAACATCCCAAGACAATAAAGAGGGAGAACAGGAGCAAGAGGCGGGAATGCGAGAGGGTGAGAGAGTAGAGAAAGAGCTACAGAGGCAGAGACAGAGCTCGGGAGACAGATCAATAGAAGAAATGGGAGGCAATAGAGCAAGAGAGGGAGAGGAAGACAGATCGAGAGAAGGAGAGGGAGGCAATAGAGCAAGAGAGGGAGAGGAAGACAGATCGAGAGAAGGAGAGGGAGGCAATAGAGCAAGAGAGGGAGAGGAAGACAGATCGAGAGAAGGAGAGGGAGGCAATAGAGCAAGAGAGGGAGAGGAAGACAGATCGAGAGGAGGAGAGGGAGGCAATAGAGCAAGAGAGGGAGAGGAAGACAGATCGAGAGAAGGAGAGGGAGGCAATAGAGCAAGAGAGGGAGAGGAAGACAGATCGAGAGAAGGAGAGGGAGGCAATAGAGCAAGAGAGGGAGAGGAAGACAGATCGAGAGAAGGAGAGGGAGGCAATAGAGCAAGAGAGGGAGAGGAAGACAGATCGAGAGAAGGAGAGGGAGGCAATAGAGCAAGAGAGGGAGAGGAAGACAGATCGAGAGAAGGAGAGGGAGGCAATAGAGCAAGAGAGGGAGAGGAAGACAGATCGAGAGAAGGAGAGGGAGGCAATAGAGCAAGAGAGGGAGAGGAAGACAGATCGAGAGAAGGAGAGGGAGACAATAGAGCAAGAGAGTGAGAGGAAGACAGATCGAGAGAAGGAGAGGGTAAAAGAGTAGAGAGAGAGAAATAGATGTACTAGAATACAAATAGAGAAACAGATCAACTACCCCCTCTCCTAGAGGGGGCAGACCAAGAGAGGGGAAGGGAAACAGAGCAAAGGAGGGCTACAAAAGAGAGAGAGAGAGAGAGAAGCAATGGAAAACGATGCATTCAATATTTCCAGCATAAACAGAATTGAATATTTACTATAATGGAGATAAAGAGAAGTTATAGACATGTAAACAATTCTATGTCCGTGGGAGAGACGTAAACATGGCATATAACTTGGCTGAATAACTGGAAAAATATAAACGTCTGGGATGGAGACTAACATCATAGAAATGGGAAGAAGAAGAAGTCCGAGCGGACGAGCGGACGTGCTTTTCAGAAGCTCTCTAGGAGCTTGTAGATTTCTTGTAGAATTTTGCCAATATTGTTAAAAATTGCCTCAATACCGGATATTTTGGGACTGTTTTGCTTCTTTATACTGTTGAACTTTGGATTGAAACTATAGTGGATTCATACAAGCCTATACTTAGGATCAGAGTCAAAAGGTAAGCAAGTCTTGTGGGCTACTAACACATACCGCACCCTTAATTACACGGTAGACTGCACACAATTGAATTTCCCGCCCTTTTCAGGCAACCAACCAGGTCATGGCCGGAGTGACAAACACCGGCCAGGGCGAAGAGCCACCTCTTTTACAACCCAATGAAGAAGATGAATTTCGAACTGTAAAATACTCTCATAGGAGCAAAAACCGAGAAATAAACGCAGGCGCGAAGGAAGCATTGCAATTGAAAATCTTTCAATGAGAACAGAATCCTCTTCCTCAGAAGACCAAAATACAACCCAGAACCGCCAATCGGAACTCAAAGTCTTAATTACCCCCATAGATAAATCAAAATCGCTAAAGAATGTGAATCCCATTACTATAGCTAGAAATATCCGTGAAGCTTGTCCGAACCCTGTGGAATTTATCAAACCCACAGCCCAAGGTCTCCTTATCAAATGCAAAAACCAGAAACAAGTAAAAGCACTATCTCAAATTAGTAACATAGGAACCACCCCAGTAAAAGTTGCAGAAAAGCAGCAAGTTGTGAGAGGGGTCATATATGGAGTACCTACAGAAATGACTGATGACGAAATTCTCAATGAATTGAAACACCAAGGAGTAATTGATGTAAAAAGAATCATGAAAAGGTCCAAATCAAATGTAAAATCAATTGAAATTGAAGAAAGCAGACCCAATCTTATCCCAATGAGGAGTGTTATTATATATGGTGGCCCTGAAGGGACATCGCGAATAGACTAAATCGTGAAAAATATGCGATAAAATTCACGATATCGTCAATTTTATCGCATATTTTTCACGAAGAAATTCACGAAATTGACGATATCGTGAACTTTATCGTGAACTTTTCACGATGAAATTGACGATATCGTGAATTTTATCGTGAAAAGTTCACGATATAAAGTTCACGATATCGTCAATTTTATCGTGTACTCTATCGTGTACTCTATCGTGTACTCTCCTGACGGGCGCTTCGTAAACAAAACCAGCCCTAGCTGGGGGAGACAGAGAGAAGGAAAAAAGGGAAAGGGAAAGAAAGAATAATAAGAAGAAAAGAGGGAAACGGGGGGGGGGGGGGGGGGGGGGGGGGGGAAGGGCTCTTGGGGGGGGGGGGGGGGGGGGGGCCTCCTCCTCACTCCCCCCCCCCCTCCCCGCCAAAAAATAAATCAGAGAGAGAGAGAGAGAAGGGAAAGGGAAAGGGAAAGAGAAGATAAAAGGAAAGAAAGAAGAGGAAGAAGAAGAAAAGAGGAAAACGGGGGAAGGGCGAAGGACTCTTGCCCCCCCCCTCCCCCCCCCCCCCCCCCCCCCCCCCCCCCCCCCCCGCCAAAAAATAAATCCCTTTCCCTTTTTTCCTTCTCCCTGTCTCCCCCAGCTAGGGCTGGTTTTGTTTACGAAGCGCCCGTCAGGAGAGTACACGATAGAGTACACGATAAAATTGACGATATCGTGAACTTTATATCGTGAACTTTTCACGATAAAATTCACGATATCGTCAATTTCATCGTGAAAAGTTCACGATAAAGTTCACGATATCGTCAATTTCGTGAATTTCTTCGTGAAAAATATGCGATAAAATTGACGATATCGTGAATTTTATCGCATATTTTTCACGATTTAGTCAATTCGCGATGTCCCTTCAGGGCCACCATAATTATAGCATTCAACCGTACAAACCAGCAACATAACAATGTGCTATCAACATTTTGAGGTTAAACTATACATTCCCCCGTTTTGAGGTGCTTTCAATGCCAACGCTACGGCCACGGCATAGCTCAATGCAGAGCAAAGATGAGATGCGTCAGATGCGGGGAAGACCACAAATTTGAGGAATGTAACCGAAAAGAAAGACCGATATGTATAAATTGTGGTGGGAACCATTCAGCAGCCTTTGACGGCTGTCTTGAAGCTAAGAAAGCCAAAAAGATACAAATAGTAAAAGTCAAAAACAATCTTTCATACGCACAAGCTGCAAAAATACAGACGGAGCAAGAAAAAGCACAGCAGAAACCACAAGCCAACCTCCCTGAATCACATCCCTCCCTCGATGTCAACTCAGATAACCTCCCTCTTCCTCCCCGACCAGTGAGGTCATCCACAGCAATCCGCCCTGAAAACGCCACCCCGCAACTTGATCCCCAGCCCTGGAACACCCCGCTGCAAAAAAACGCACAGAGCAGTAAATTAATAGATAAGGATGGAAAAACTGAAGTAGAACTAGAAGCCCTCCCTCGAGGTAACCTAGTAACATTAATGAGTGATGAGCAAATAATCTCTTTCATTACGCAACTTGTTCTCACTTTTACGGATGGAAAATCCGAGAAGGAGATTTCATCCTTAGTGAAAGTGGCAGCTGAGAGACTGCTCAAACAAAGAGTAAAACATGACGCTAAAGATGTACTGGTATAGCATAGTAATGATGATGACAGCGCTAACCATATTACAATGGAACGCGCAGGGACTTCTTAATCACGGTCCTGAACTTATAAAATACTTAGATTCATATAAAGATGTAAAGTACCATTTAATTTGTGTTCAGGAAACATGGTTCAATGATGATAGAATATTGCAAATCCCTGAATATACATGTTTTATTAGAAACAGGGAAAATCAATCTAAAG